CGGGTTCCAGCCATCAAAACTCACTTTTTTTTCAATAATTGGCGTGAGCTCTTAACTTTGTCCCGTGGGTAATATCGAGCAAGTTCGATCGTCACAAGGTCGATGAGTTATAAGGAACAATATTTTTTTTTTTTTCGAGTACGTAATGTGGAAGGCAAAACAGAGACGTTGTGGCCATAATGAGAGTCAGCTTCGTAACTCCGGAGAAACACAATCGTCAGCAATGGCTCGATTGTCAACCAATAAACTGGAGTACAGTTGTTTAGCTAATAAGTTGGACGGATTCTGCGCGTCTGCCGGTTTCAGTTACGTGAAAAATAATTTTCTCATATCTTTGTCTTATGATGTTGACTAGGAACTTGTAATGAGCATCACTGCGTTCGTTCGCTTTGGCTTTCTCGAAATAAAAATGGTACCGAGTTTTTCGAAATTAGTTTATCTAATAGGGAACGTTCACTTTCTCAGTGTCAGTCTGATGTCCAGCTAGTGTCCATCGATGTGCCTTTTTTGTGCCATTTCCTACCTCTTGGTTTATGTAAATATTGTAGCACACATGGAATTGTCGTGTATTTGTTACAAGCTCCTTAGGGTGTCATGGCTTAAATTAGCTGCTAGAAATAGCCAGCACTTCAAAGAGATGTTGATTTTGTTTCACGACTTCATGAATTCGGTCGATTGTTTTTACTCGTCAAATAAAAACAACTCTATCAAATACAAGGAACTTATAGGCAAATGTTACTTTTTCAGAACTTTGTCTGCATCTGTGTTTGCGACTCTAGCTCGCTCAGAACACCATATATATATATATATATACTGTGGTGTTGTGACCATGGTCGGTTGTGGCTGTTATTATCGTGTTGCCTATATTTGGACGTGCTTTTACTGGCGTCACGTTTTGTCCGTCTAACCGCCTCGTTATCTACCCTGTTTGCATGAACCCTATCGAGCCATTGTAGATCCTAGATAATTATGCAGTCTGTATTTGAGTCAAATTATTGAAGCTAGCATTATTTTTGTCCGCCAATTTCCATCGCAGTAGTGTTTCAAACGGTAGCTCCGCTTCTCCAAGTAGATTTTAACGCTTCCGTTAGGTTTTCTTTACATGGTTCCGTTTGTAGCATGAACAACATTCTGTTTCATAAAAGTCTAGTTTCTACATGCATGAGTATATTGTTCGTTTAGGTCTCTTTAGCTCCTAGACCCTTTTTTCCTGCAGCGTAGCCACATTGAGCGGAAAGGACAAGGGAATGATGAGAGGGTGCCCTGATCAAGAAACTGTTCCCCTTGGTTATATAGATTCAAACATGTTAAAATGAGGGAAAAGAAAATCCTTTCTGAATCCTTGTTATGTTACGGTAACAGACTCTGTTGCACTGGTTAATTTTCTAGTCAGTATCATCCTGCTTACGTTTTCGGTTCTAACAAATGCAGAAGTTAGAGAGGGCGTTTGTCTAGAACTAGGTTAATCTTATCTTAATATAAGAAATAACCAATTTGCCAATTATTATTTTGGATAAAGGACCGAGACAAAGATTCGATAAATAACGAATTGTTTAGGGGGTCGTCGTTGTCAAATAGCTTCGTTCTGTCTGTGCGGTCGGTTTCGTAGGTGACACGTCGTGAGCTGTGGGCGAGAAAGTCTCTTGCCGCAGCTATTGTATCTTGTCGCGTGACGTTCTAGTAGGCAGGCCGCTACCGCTATTATATTGCTTATTCCGAGATATATGTATGTATACCCACTGATGACGAAAACGAGCTACTCGTTTACTTTGTTTGTGTTTATTGTCTCTTCAGTGTATCTCTAAGCCGATAATAGTTTGTTCCTGTGGACGGCTAGCTTCGTCTACGAATAGTAGCCATTCAACTGCTATGCGATTCTACTATTATATGGATGTGACTGAGAGGCGGAACAACTTTCGCCAGTGGGCCTATTCGACGAAGACGCGACCTTTTGAAAGAAAGCTGCGTTCCATCTTCGAGAGGCCGCTATTATCATCGGCTTCTTCATATTGCTGTTTCACTCGGTCTTCAGTTCGCTCACAATTAGCCATGGATCATGGTCGTTTTACGTTGATAGAACGTCGAACATGTTCTCATTGCGAGCTTCACTTCCGCTGTCGCTGGCATTTACCGAGTAGAAACTTGTAACTTCGGCTTAGGTTTGTTAAGTTTTATCCGGGCTGGATTTTTTTCAAGTGCTGTTGCTGCGCTGGTCTCTTATGTCCAGTTTTGTGTCTCTCTCCCGTTAGATATATACGATAGAAGCTATAAGTAGATGCAGTATCGTGCCTCATATTATTACACAGTAATCATACTGCGCTTGCTCGTCGATTGAAGCACGCGCTGCTACTTTTCGTTATTTCAGTTACTAATCTTTGCGTCATTTCTATTCTGTCTAGCCATTACTTTGGCCGCTGGAGACGAGGCGTGCTTTCTGACGCTGTCCGACTATTGCGAATTCTCCTTCGTTCGGTTCTTTCCATTTGTCTGGTTAGCTTGGGTTGTTTTTGATTTTAGTAGCCACTTAGACCCGGGTCGATTTTTAATGAGAAACTGCGTGAAGATGATCGATTTCGGCTGATCACTAGCCAACTATCTTCAATCAAGTATGTACTTTACTTGCTAATACTGATATTCCTATGTATAGAGTTTTTGTTAACCAGAGTAGTAGTAGTAGTAGTAGTAGTAGTAGTAGTAGTAGTAGTAGTAGTAGTAGTAGTAGTAGTAGTAGTAGTAGTAGTAGTAGTAGCAGCAGCAGCAGCAGCAGCAGCAGCAGCAGCAATAGTACGGTTTCGCCTATTATTACGACTATTATTATGATCAGCTGTTTTTATTTGGTTTTCGTTATTGCTTCATGTTTGTTGGCTTTTTTCCCCTATTCCTCTTTTTAGGGTTTTTTTTTTATGTGTAAACTGACTGCTGCTGCGAATGTGGTTATGTATGGCTGTATGGATGTTCTGGTGTTGCCTTCAAAGTCAACTGTATTTGATTGGCCTGGTATTGCACCGTCAACAATAAAATTTCATGTGTGTTCTGCGTCTTATCATTGTACGGATAGAATGCTGTTTTTGCATTCGTAGAGTTCATAGCATCGTTACTGTGTAGGGTCTTTGCACGCATCTTTGCGGTGGAAGAGTTCGCGCGACGCTAGAGTGATTTCTGGGTCGTGCAGGATTAAGCGCCGAGACCACGCGATGTGTCGAGAAGAACTCGTTCGAAAACATCATTGCGATGGGTCAGACAACGAGCAAAAATCGGCTTGTTTGGCTGACTGACTGACTGACTGGTCAGTCGGTCGGTCGGTCGGTCGGTCGGTCGCTTGCTTTCTCTGTTTCCCGTTGTCTGTATGCTCGGCGTTCAAGTCCTATACGAACTGTGTATAAAATCACGCCGCTTGGCAAGGTGTTAGGTTTTGAGCGTGCTTAGCGATGACAACAGTACGATAATGTAGGTCGAAATAGCAGCTCTAACTATTAGAATTTCAGAAGTGGTAGAGGAGAACAGAACTGTTCGTGATGGCTAAGATTTGGGTTTGTCGCCCGGTCTGCAGCAGAAGATTTTCTAGCGCTGACAGATGTTTCTTTGCGATCTACCATCTCATTATGCTTGTGACATCGTTGCTCGGCTCGCGTTCCAATCTCAGTTGTTTTACTAGAAATCATTGTCATCATTTTCCGTCGACAGCACTTACTTATGTTGTCACTATTGTAATGAAAGGCGTAATAACAGGATTAACAACAATATTAATACTACTAATTATCTAATAATAGTCGTTATTATCGTCACTATTACGAGTCACGTTGTACTAGTTGTTTTACTTTCTTCGCAGTCTTCCTTTTTCGCAGTCTATGTTCTTTTTGTTTTCGCAGCTAATATTATCGTGTAGCTATTTTACAGATAATATAACACACTCAACAACATCTCTAACAGTATAATAATTATCAAAAAAAAAAAAAAGATAATAATAATAATAACAACAACAACAACTTAATAGGAACAATAACTAGTAGTCATCACGCAAACGTTATACAAAGAAATTTTCCACGGGTCCGTTGATATACGCACTCTATATGTATGTATATATTAATAACAATTCTAGCTGCCTCCTGATTTCGTGTCGTTACGGTAATCACTGTTGTTTGCTTCTTCCGCGGGTAAATAAACGAATGCGATATTGATAACAAGCCTAGTTAGTAATGACAACAATTGGACCAATTTATGTCTGCTAACGTAAAACGTTTTCGCAGGGATAGATATCATCGCCGTCATCATCCTTCGTCGCCGTCATCATCCGACATCGTCCAGTATGGCATGTTCTGCTTTGTGAATTCGTTCCTGTCTTCCCATGTTTCGTCTGCCCTCAAATGAGAACGCTTTTGCTTTTTTTTCTCGCCTTGGCAACAGCAGTGAATAGGAGAGCTCTATTTGCTATACAGTGGTATTTGGCATAGTCGTCTAACGATCATCAGTAAAAGTATCTGTATGTGTATTTTTTTTTCCTTTTCTTTTCTTCGATGCTTCCCTTCTTCACTCGCGTTTAATCAGGAGGACAGCACGTTCTGGTATGGCGGCCGCTACACTAGTGTCAATATATCTATGCGCTACCTTAATTCTGCTTCTGCTTCTGCTTCTGCTGCTGCTGCTGCTGCTGCTGCTGCTGCTGCTGCCGCTGCCGCTGCCGCCGCCTTTTGTTCCTCATACTGAAAATGTAAATGCCTGTTTCTGTCGATGCCAAGCGATCGAACTACTTGCGCGCTTATGGCCCTGTTCTGTTTACTGACCATTCAAACTATCGTAAATTAGTAATCTTCTTATCATTATTATGACGAACAAAGTCATCTCGTCGAATTTGACTCGTTTGGCCAATCCGATCTTCTGTGATCCCAGCCGTTTTCCCAATGCCTCGATGTGTGTTTGTGAGTAATATTAACGTCAAACGTCAATTTACACATTACTTTCTCAGTTCTATCTATAATAATAGTAGAATGAAACCGTCGTCGTACTCACTACTATTACTGCCATTGTCTCGAAATAGAATTAATAATAATAAAAAGGGGAATAAAAACTTGCGAAATCAACCGTCCTTGCAAGATAACGTCGCTAGCGTCGCTCTTTCTTCTAGGGCAAAAGAAAACGATGCTCGCTTTGTACGTTGCGTTGCCTGTCAACATGTCCTGCGTGCGTACTATTTATCTATTTGTCTTCTGCTGTTATCTGTTGCCGGCGGATACCTTTGTCTAATCGACCTTTTCTTGTTTCTTCTGCTGCCGCAGTAATAAACGCGTTGGTTGAGTGCTGAGTTGTCGAAGCGAGCCATTACCGAGTTGCTCTTTAAAACTCGTTAACTAGCCATAAGTACTTCGATGATTACTGAGATGGCAAAGTAATTCGTCTTAGTAAGAGCGATAGCGGTGAGAGTAACTTGTGCCGTATTGTTGCTTACGATGACGGACTGCTTTATATTTATTAGCTATTTGTTTGCTTGCCTTTTTTTTTTTTTTTTTTGTTAACGTACGTTAGCCCGGCTGCAGTCTACGACCTGCAAGGGAGCCATAGACCAAGAGAACATTAGGTCGAGTCTGTGTACGATCACAGTATCCAGCCGTGTGTTAAACGGTGAATAAATTTGACAAGAACACCTTTAACCAGAAATGATTAATAATGAAAGTTAAGTTAACGAATCGAACCAGATTAGGCAGTTTAACTTAATAAAACGCGCTTGAATCTATCGCGAGGTAGGATACGCTACGTATCTTTGTGATTGCAAATCTATATCGGAGCGGCTAACCAACTACTGGATTGGTGAATCTCTAATGGGCCGATCAGCTTTGACTCGTAATCAACAACGCGCAGGACATACTCGCAAATTGTGTTTGTCCTCGTCGAAAGGCCGCGTACCTAACCTTCAATGGAAATGTCTTGCAGGCAGCACACCAGTGACAAAACGATCGGGCAAGCATTTTCGGGAGTGCGAGACATTGGCGTCATTCGTCAGCCGATGACTATAGCTGAAAAGATTGGTCTCGAATAGATAGTGACTAGCTCCACGCATTATAGGATCAACTGTCAGTTCTGAGCATAGATATGAAGAGATATTCGCGAATACATTACGAACAGTTCGTAGCTACCAATTAGAGAAACCGTATCGTGCGCTGCTTGCAAGTACGCACCCAAAGGCAAACTTATAACTGAACGAATGTACCAATCAATTAAGTTCATTATGCGGGAAAAATTCTAACTATAACAATACTATATCATCCTAGGAAAGTACGAATTAGCGTCGTCAAGTATCCTCTAATTTCTTTGTTACGCTATCATCATGACAGTACTTATAATCACTAAGTATTTACTGAATTGTGACCGATAGTGATATTGGTCCGTTTGTCTCTGCAGAAAAAAACTCGTATACGTGTATTCACCTATAAAATGTCATCTGTTCTAGCCCTCGATCTCTTCGGGCAGAATGTCGCTGATGTGAGTGTAGATAATCCAGTACATTAGCTGGAAGCAGACGAAGCAAACGGGGAAGATGACCCGTGAATACTTGTCGATGTCGGAGGGCGACACCCCGAACAGTTTGTTGGGATTCTTGATGAAGGCGGTGGCCTCGAGCTGCGTGGCGTCAGCCGGAGGCCCCCCCGACGACGGGGCCGAGGGGACCGAAGGAGGCGCTCCGTTGGCGCCGGAGGCCGCCCCGCCTCCGGGCGTCACCGGCATCGCCGACGTCTTCGACTCCGGACGCGCGGGACCGTCCGAGATCATCTTTAGCCGCACCTCCTGCTATTAGTGGTGCGCCCCCATCCCCCCGCCCCCCCACACACACGCACACGCACACCCAATTGATTGTTTCTCATTAGAGAGAGTTTAATTAGAGAAACATAGACCCGTGCTGCACACCCATTAGGAATCGACTATTGGCAATAAAAATACCCCTCTCTCTCTCTTTGTGGAAGCTGGCACCATATAGAAACATATATAAAAATATAACGTACATATACATATACGTTATATTTTTCGAGTTTCATTTATGTTGAAGCGCGAATGAAAGGTCTTTGAGCATTTCAAGCACCATTGCAGCTATATAGACTACCATAATAGTAGTATGTTAATATAAATCGATGTGTCGTGTGTTGAATTAATCAGTGCACAGAAGATTTACAGGGGCTTTACGTTAACGAGAAACGAACAGTAGGTTGGGGTGGCCATTACGATTCTGACTATACAAGGTACTTAGACTTTCCCAAAAAGCAATTAGTAGTTGAAAAAGTGGGCCAATCAGCAAACTTTCGTATTGATTGTCGTGTGACGTCGCCGAATTCGCACTCAATGAGATACTATAGTAGTAGACGTGTTGGTTAAATGCCAGTTCAGGTTAGCTCTGTGTCAGCTCGTTATCTCAGCTTGTTTACGCGGGCGCTTGCAATAGTCTAGACAGCTAGATGACAATTCCCAGTGCACACACTTCAAAATTAGTATGTATGTTTAATTTTCTCGGCTGATTGTATGTAACGTCGTATCTGGGTAGGATACAATGACAAAAGATTGGAGTCAGCAACGTTGGCAATTGTAGCTATACGAGCTCTTATAAATAGGAACCTTACCATTGACATTGGTTGAGGCGTAGGGTTGCCCCCTGAGGGGCAGCCACAGCCCCCGGGTACACTCGAGCAGCAAGTGTCTCCCACTCCTCGCCTGCGCAGGCCCCCCACCATACCCTGTGAAGATGAAGTAAGCAACGCATGCAACAAACACACACGAATTATAAGAACTTCCGATATCGGCACTAGGCAATGTTAGATAGTTCCATCAACTGCAATCGTTCGCTTGCCAATGGCTTCTTCTGCGAATCAGACGAGTAACTTTAGGCGCCGCACGTGTAGTTTCTAAGCTTAGCTATTTCTAACGACGTTTAGTCACCTTATTCATTGCTTACAAAGAGATTTCAGATAAAGGTCAATAACGTGTACTTTCGATGCGTAACTTTGAGATGCAGAAAAATGCTCTCGGAGCACGTCAATTGAACATAAGTAATTGTAATCTTTAACAGGCCCGACACAATAGATCCTAGCTTAAAAGCGCAGGACGTCGTCGAAGCCAATATCTACTAAGTCTAAGCATGCTTATAGCTGGTATACAGTTGCATAAGTAGGCATACAGACAACGTACAAAATTGTCAGAATTTACGGGTACACAGTAGTCATGCTCAGGCCAGATATTTGGGTGCAACAGTTCCCATCATAGCGTCTACGGTTTGGCGTGCAATTTGCCGGTTACCTGGCCTATACAAAAACACACTATAGATTTTGATATATCAACGCTCAAGAGGCGGCAGACTGTTCAAGCGCGTGCGATCTTCTATTTGACGTATTCTTCATATTATGTAATCTTAATGTCAGCATTGTGACGCTCAAAGACTTACATTGACAGTAATCATCTAACGTATGTATGCCTACTTCATAATTGTAAATGTTTGATTTACCATGCCAAATGGGTAGTCTCGGTACTGCGTGACGGTGGGGCACACCTGACATGAGCCCTGTAATATCACATAAACGACTGGTCACGTTAATCGAACCTCAACTACTATGTAGAATTATGCTAAAAACGCAGCAGGAAATCATACACGAATCAGAATCTCAATCAGAAAAAACCAGAATATTAAAGATGTGTTACGTAATGAATAACAGTGTGATTTCTATTAATGATCTTTGATTATCAGTCCTCTGTAGCTCCGCTGGACAAAAGACACTTACAATAGATTTTAAAATAGGATTCACTTCCTGGTTTGGACTTGAGCAAACATCTTGGTTGGCTGGTATTGTACTTTCGGCGCTTTTGCTTTTATTAATTTCGTTCTGAAATAGGCAAACATGTCAAAACAGGACAGCATGTGTGACAGTTAATAGTCGTATTAGTTTTTTTAATATGGCCAGTTTTTACTTTGTGACGCGGCAAATGTTAAGAGTGCTTTTTTTTTTTAACAGATCCTGACCTGGTTTTGTGATTTCGCATCTTCGTCTTGTTTCTTCTCTTTGCTCTCCTTTTCTTCCTTCTCCTTCGCGGCAGCCTGGGCCTGTTGCTGGGCCCTCGATTTTCGCATTGCAATTCTTTTTCCGAGATAGCCTACCGTGGCGTACTCCAGAAGCGAGGCAAAAACCTGTCACGAGTCAGACGAATTTACTTGATATTTGCAGTTCTGGCGTCGATTCAGCTTTTTTTCTGTTTGTTTCTTTTTTTTTTAATTGTATACTTACTTTTCCGCCGCGAACGATTCGATCGTCGTTGTAGCTGATACATTACATAAAGTCGGTCCCAACTTGGCCCTACTATAAAGAGCCAAATTATTAAAAGTGACATTAAGTATTCCGGTTGATCTGGTATGGAGATTTTACGGTATCGGACCGATCAGTCGTACCTTGGAACCAATGCTTGAGAATAGATAATCAGGGTAGCCTCTTCTATAAGTAGATTAGAATTTTATGGATACGCTCACCGTTCGTGATGCGTAACCAATTTTGTTTCGATTACCGGGTGTTTTACGCTTCATTGTAATCGCTTGAACAGAAGGAAACTGTATAATGATTTGGTCATACGCCATTTCCCATGCAAATAAGCTAGATACGGGCAGATTTACAAACAACGTTTCTGTCACCATGATGATAGGCTTCCTTCTAATACATATCAAAAGTAATCTATTGTCATGACTCTTCGCCCGCCATGCTTTCCTATGTTGAATAGTTGAAACTGACTTCAGCGCTAAACAGCTCAACGCTGAGCTTTTTTTACAGATTGCTTTGATGCTACCCGTTGACGTCGGACGTGCTAGTCCAGAGGGAAAGTCTCTCCTCGACTGTTCGTTGGCTTAGTATCGCTGACTGCTTCTTACCACAAATGCGAACTTCACAGAAGCTGTTGGATAGCTAATCAGGTCGCCCGTTAGCTATATAAATGAAGGGCAAACTAGATGCGTGCCTACGATCACGAAGTTCTCACGCCTGTTCCGTGATCAGGGATATTGGTTTTAGGGTCGAACAAATAGAAGCAGGGAGATGAATCATATATTTTGTTAAGTAGGAGAAGCGTTAGGCTCCTCACCTCTTTCAAGTTACCGGCCAGATGGATAGATTAACGAAAGGCGTGGATCGCTTTTCAAAGCGATTTCACAGTAAAAAGCAGAATACATATCACCGTTATAGAATGTCTATAGGAAATTTGTGGTGTTCAATGCTCGTTGGGAAAAGCGACGACAAAACCAATCGGCAGGACGACGACAGAAAAGTTAACGTTACTAAAAGCAATGTATTTTTTCACGTCTTCGATAATATGCATCAAATTACAAATACCTTCACTGACTGTTAAGTAATGAGAGATAAGATGCTAAATTTAGATAAATCTACCTGACGGATCCTATAGTTTTTTTCCCGTATTGATAATGACCAACTAAGGACCAACGGAATCAGAACGTTATATGCGAATACCACGCTAAACCTTCCAGTAAACGCTTGTGTTTTGAGCGGGTTGGATAATTATTTGATTAATAGGAAATTGAATTAGCTAAATTTAAGTTAAGAAAATCGCTAAATCCTAGTAGTAAATAGGTGTAAGTTAAAGACCCAACAAAATAAAAATTCATGTCTCATTTAGTAGACGGGAGTCCTATTTTAACGAACAATTAGTTATTTTTATCGCGTACGATATAAGCTTGCCTCGTTAATACAATAATATTAAGAATAGCGGATTCGTCTAACGCTAGGTCTTAGGTTGAAGTTGTTCAACTAGATCGCTGCAAATGTCAGCGATGTTTCTCTCTTTGTAAGTTAGAACGTACACAAGATGGTGGGACAAGATAGGTCTTCGTTCCATCCAGTTGTCACATCTGTTTCTGTACATTACCTATAGCATGGCTGCTGGGCACAGTCCCAGATGGTAAACCACACACTATATAATTGCGGAGCTGTTAATTACTGTTTGCACGTTAGTACGCCAGTCGGTTTTCTTATGTTGACTTGCCATTGTAGGCCAGTCAAACATTTTGCGATATTGGGTCCGTTGCGAAGAAAACCCTTCTACGAAGTCTCATACCAATACTTGTGGCGTCATGCGAACACAAATGATGCATCCCGTGTTCTCAAATAGTTTGTCAGATGTCAAGCAGCCAAGCAAGCCACCTTCATGGACAACTAACTAAACAGGACCAGGGGGTAAGTAATAATGAGTCCCTTTCTTAGATTGTGCTGCTTCGTAGCCGCTGTTCTTTCTAGGGGCACAACGGCTATCAGGGTCGCAGATAGTCTCCCTCCGGATTCCTGTGCTCCTTTTCCACATCTGAAGTCATGAGCGTGCACGCTTCTCTAGGCACATCTCGATCCAAGTAGTCAACATCACATACGTGATATAAACTCTAGATTAGTTCCACCAGTGGGCTTCACTAGCGTGTCGGTTGGGTCGGTAGGCGGTCGACTGGCGAATACTGTTACTGGAGAAGAAAGAGCAGCGTCAACACGATCGCTGCTATTCATGCCAAAAACGTGCTCGACATACCATGATGCACTGATGCGCACGTCACGCGTATCGCGCTCATCAATTAGTAAAACCAGAACGAACGACAGGGAGAAAAAGCGTTCATAGCCCGTTGTCTATTAACCGAGCGGCATTAGTACGAATTCCGGTATCCGTCTAGAAGCTGATACACGGATGATGTTAGCTAGCATTATTATTTATCATTCACTTAGATGAGACGTTCTCACCATAGGGCTAATACTCGCCGAACAGTAGTACTAATATTCCGTCGATGATGACCAGTTAATTTTCACGCGTTAAGCATCGTTCTATACGCTCAGCGGAAGTAGCTCCAGAATGCATCATATCCACCTGACATTTTTCTAGTCAAGAAGCATCTAAGGCTTATGCTTAACTTAAATTGCCTGTCCAAGGCATGTGTGTAGCGTTCATACAGCCTCGGTGACGACTGAAGTTTGCTACGCTTCCCTCTAGCGACAGGTGCTGTTTGATTTGAGGAAAACACATTCGATGGGGTAGCCTCAGTGATATGTTTTGTTTAGGATATGAATTGTGTGTGTTTCGTTAACGAATTTGTGCCAGCTTGGCATAGCCTACATTGGCCTAAACGAAGTACACAGTGTTGCACGCGCTAACCCCCGAATAAGATTAGGATGCTTCGAGACCAGCGTTTAACTAAAACTTATCACGGGTCGGCCTTTCGAAAATCGCTGTCCGAAAATGATCGTAACAGATCTTCTGCTACGGACGCGCCCCTCCTTTAGCTGACAAACTGATTAACACCGGCCTAATATACCCAAAAAGCCATATCGTTGCTAGGAAAGATGCGTTTGCCAGCACTGAGCGACAAAGTCACCAAATGTTAGTGCCTGTGGGGTAATTGATTTCGGCGGATAATAACTAAGTTAAGTTAGACGGATCATATTTGACAGAAAGGGTTGAAATGTATGGAGTGTCTAATGCTGAAGTAGTAGACACGGAAAAGTTCGACAAACGAAAGCAGACCCATCCAGCGCGTGTATCGCTTAGACGTATTACAATGATACCGTTACTTACCTAATTTCGAAGCAAATCGTCACGCACTGATGTACGTACCATAACGAAACACGTTCCTAGGTAGACGTCGATCGATTTAACATATGATATTTTAGGCAGTTGAGAATTAGTGCTTGACATAAGGGTGGTCATTGTCAGCACGGTAGTGACTCCGAGCGCCACGCGAGCCGGAGTAGCGTTACGATGTAGCCAGAAGGATACCTATAAAATTACAATCAGATGAAATAAGGTCACTGAACATATATCGATGAATAATCTATGCTTGGGCCATAACAATAGACCGTGATTTAGAAGTTTCACAGACAGGGATGATTCGCAAACAATATATGTATTCGGTGATGCTTACCCACGAGATGACCACAATAAGACCAGCAGGAATGTAGATTTGAATCAGATAATAACCCATGGCTCGACCGAACCGAATTTCACACACCAACCGGGAGTAGTTTCCCGTGCTAAGAGTTACCTGTAATCATTTGCATCTCCGTGCTTAACTCCGAGCCAATTTGTCAAAGAGGAACTTCTTCCATCAACTTGAACATTTCAATTTACGACTACACCTGACCAACTACGACTCAAAGGCCGAGCTGAATCTTAACTTAATATTCAAAACGAGACACTAGTACTATTTGCTCGGACATTCATACAGAGTATGTACATACAATTACTTAGAACGAGGCACGATTTTATTTGAGCAAGACGGGCGAGTGAAGGAGCGAACAAGGAACATCGAATAAATACAAAACCCGTAATATTAGTTCTCAAGCAGCTGTAAAGCATATATTGAAAACGAATTATTCAGACGTTACAAAAGTTCTATATGAAATAATGTGTTGTACTGGAATAATCTGTGCTGTACAAACGTTACGCTGCCATACTATAGAACACACTATACGCAATTGCCTATTGTATAGTATTGTTTAAGGAAAAAAAACCAACTCTTGATTTTTACCTACCGAGTTAGCCGACCGACACAGTCACTGTAAACCAACCTATTCCTTATGGTTGCGGTTTCAACGGTTCGGGATGCCTATATGCTCCTCAGTAAGCAAATTTATCGAAAAGACCAAATTCCAGTCTATCAGATCTACTTCCAATTGACTTTGTACCGTTTAGGTCCCGCAGGCGTCCAAAGTTTTCCTGATGTTCGAGTGAAGCCTCACTATCGTTCTAATTGTACAATGCACGAAAAATGAGGCTTGTATTATAGGTGTGCGCATTTCGGATGGTCATAGTTCCGCGATATAAAGCGCTGGAAAGGAAAAAATGTCGATCACGAGGCTGTGGCACCGTCAACGATCCGCCATCTCGTCTGTTCATCTCAGGCAATCCACGTATTATTTTTATAGCTAATTACAGTGGTCGAGATGAAAGTCGCGTACGTTCAAATGCTTGTTAGCCAGTTAACTCGTGCTGGTTTTTCCGAACGCCCCTGTTGCCGTGCACGTCTGCCCTTATGGGGCATGCCAATGGTAACTGTCACTGAGAGTTTGACCAGTTAACGCTGCTGTGACGGAGGCAGTCGGTTTAGTTAAAAGCAAACAATATGGCTCATTTGCGTTTCTACGAATAACGAAGTGCTTTTACGAAGCACGAAGTTGTTTGACGAAGGCTGACGGTAAATGCAGCTGGGCCAAAGGGATATAGTGGGACTTTCTTTACTGTGATAGGTGAACTGTTATTATTGCAGGTGTGCTCGAAAAGTGTACACAACTCATCCTTTCTAGAGGGCTGTGAGGCATCGGCAATAAACACGAATAGGCAAAGAAGTCAACCGGTCGCGTGCTGCATCATTTACCCCCCTCCTACTGACCCGCTGGCTAGCGGTGTTAAATTGCTAGCCTAACTGGCTATTAAATTAATGCCTATTCATAGAGACTCACTCGTAAGTTAGGTAGTTACCAACAACAAACTGAGCCATACGTACAATATGTGCTAGAGATTCGCACTGGTATAAGACTACACGATATGGACCACGGGGCTGTTGGCCCTAGAGAGCATTGCTTTGGAGTGGGCTTTCTACCGTAGCAAGAAAGCATCGACAGCTTTGACTGCCGTTTTTACGTGAGGTTAACACTCTTACGGCTGGAAAAATGAAAATAGCCCCTAAAATATCGGAACATCAAAAAATCACTACAAATACTCTATAAGAAAGCACATAGAATAACATATCGTATGCTTACGTCAAGTGTGAGTTTTTTCTTTGGCAAATTTTTCCCTTTGATTATACATTATGTCGGTACTTTGGCAACGAAAGGCAGACTTCTGGCAAGCGAAATACGAAAAGGGGCGGTATATGCTAGCCTTACCACAATAGTCTTCTGCTGATGACCAAGAACTTTGAATTGCGGCAGCTCTACGTCAGGTGAGATTCGAACCGATTTCTCGCCATCAGCCCACTTGTAACTGATATCTGCAGTTGTGTATCCAACTGAAAATCGCACATAGTCCAATTAGTGAGTTAATTAACGACCCATCATTCACGCTCCGAGTAGTGCTGTTTTATGGTAAGCCCAGCAGTTTTTTTTTTTTTTTTTTTTGATGCCTATTTTATCGGAAGATATCTGTGACAGACCCATAAATCAGACGTTCCTTAGCTTGATAATAAATTGAGCTGAATATTTAATAGCTGTCTATGGGACAGCGTTGGTGATTCTGTATGATTGTTTCTGACTGGTTCTATTACAACCGAATCGGAAATGGTCAAAAATTAGAAATACACGCCATAGAGATTCGGCTCGACTTTGGCGCACCACTACTAACAGTACAACTGAAATAATTATTAAATTGTAATAGTTCTAACTTGCTTTTCGTTGGTACACAGCTGCAACCTAGCTTAGGGTGCCATCCAAACGAATCTGCTACGATATCGTCATTGTTTATAGAAGAAAAAGGGGCCTGTCACCGATAGTGCTTGCTGAAAGCGGATTAATCTATGCAAATTCTCGCTATACAGAGTAACAGGCATACATGAAGGGACGTGGTTTTAGGTAGACTATCTAAACCTGTTCTGAAGTCCAAAGGTCGTCCAGCGCTTCTTGTAGTTGGGTTACACGTATGTGCTCAACAAGAATCATCATCTGCAGTCAGTATCGAAGCGCAAAGTGAACGTGAGCTATGTACAACCAAGAGGCCATACGTATAGGCCGATAGTCTGACCCTGCCAGGAACAACGTCCTTTGTTGCTTATTTGATCCAGCTTCTTTCTTGCTTTCTTTCTTTCTTTCTTTCTCTAGTCCATTCGTACCGAATCCTTCATGGCGACAATTTATCGCGCGTAGCAGCATGACGAATATGTCATGCCTTAGCTAAAGAGCCTTCATTTCCAGGCCGTGGAAATAAAATGATAGGATAACCCTACTTCTCAAGGAAGGCAAATTCGATAGCCCTGAGATACCCATTCGCCGTTTAGGAGGCACTGACTCGTGCATGCGTTATCGATAATCCGTTATAAATAACACAGCGATACGAGAAACAAAACATAGCCAAGCAGACAGATATCTACGGATATAGAATTAACAGGTACACACACAACAGTGGCACCTTAACGCCGCCCTAGCAACCCAAACGGTACGACCTATATTTTGTGCACACAAGCGGCGTCAATGGGGGGTTCGTTTGTTGCCAAAAGCATTCTCAGCAAAGTAAAGAACGGGAGTGTGGCAAGGAACCGCTGTTGCCAACATCCAGCTCGCTCCGACATGATAAATCACCTTAATAGATTACTAAGCGGCGAACAACTTGTGCATTTGTCCTTCGTTATCGTCCACGCAGATGTAGATAATTGCCTGCCTGTCTACCTGTGTACATATGTCTCTGTATATTCATGGTCCTAATAATGCGGTAATAGGGCGTCTCTTTGACGAGCACGTGGACATGCATAAATTCAACAGAGAGCTTTGAAATAAAGCGCAGCAGGAGAAAAAGGGGACGGGGAGAGAGATGCGTCAACTTGGCAGATCTGACAGTTGTGCAAGTTTGCTCCGACACAGAAATACACGCAGCTCATTTAAATTGGCAGTGCACATTATTACGTTACAAGGCTATGAATATCCTACATAGTCGATCCATGTGTAGCATAACTGTTACTATGATTATTGAACTATGACAGCTTGTGTGTGTGGTTGCCACGGCACAGTTACCTTTAATCCTATAGATAGATATATCGTGTTTGGGAGAAACGGGAAATACAGGATTGGTGGTAAAAGTAACTGGGAATATCAAAACTTAAAAATGCAATTTTCTACTTACAGCTTTCTATTTCAATGGCACAGCTTTGCCTGTCCATAGGAAAGTATCGTAGATCCATGGGACATGTGGCAGTCACCGTCAATCTGAAAAAATAATATATTAACATAGAAAAAGTAAAGGACAATTCACTTCTTAATTGATAATTAGTAAAAATTGTTCGGAAAACGGTGTAAAAATATATGATCTTTTTCAGATAAGAGGACCTAACTGATTCCCTAGTTTTCTAGATATTCTAACGGGTGCAACAAGCATACTCTTTACAGACATGCCTACCTGTGTGAACTATGTCCGCAGTACTTTAGAAACAGGGCCACTATAAGACAACACATTACCGTCCTTCCTTGCCGTGGCCTGGCAGGCTGCCCGATAAGTTTTTGGGCTTCGCGGAGACTGTTCTACATCAGACTTGTTTACATTTGTAATCAACGTTGACAACGAACGCGTGATCGTAATTATACTGGAAAATATGTTGACGGATCGCTATGCTCGGTCATGCTAGTGATGCCACACTGATGTAAATCGAACGACCTTTTGCCGCCTAATACTTGCTAAACCCCTCCGACGTTTGCGGTGACGATAGCTTCGCGTGCCGAATGAATGAACCAGTGTCAATGGGCAGTGAGTGGGAACATCTCGGCTAGCAGCCAGCAAGATCCCATAATTCAATATCGATATGGGATGACAAAGGCGGTTGCGCACGCCATTACATCAGCACGCTGGCCCATTCAGCCAGCATGCTTTGTACCCTTGTGGGATAAGTGTGCACCCTTGCTCAGTGCCCGGCGCTCGACGCTGGCTAACCGACGCTCGGGTCTTTACTACCATGATGTCCCGCCCGCTTGCGACGCGATTTCGGTCCGGACCAACGACGACGACGACCTGGTCTGTTGAGGCTGAATTTCCATTATGGGTCGTCTATCTTACAACCGCTCATTCGTTCGCTCTTCGTAGCACTGCACTTGTGTGACCACAGGGTTCGTGTTCTTCTGTTTCGTAACTTAGCGTCTCGACAGATCGATCCCCATTCGGACTATTCCCCAGTTCTACCTTCTCTTAACTTCTCTAGCCGGCCTCAGCAGGTGATGGTCCTCGTCTGTGGTGCTCGACTCACGTCAGAACCATCAAACGACACTACCCCTCCGTTCGCGTTCACCTAGTGGCGGCCGCGATAGCTTCTGTGTGTAGCAGCAATGGCGGAAGAGTTGAAAGTGCAGCCCATCAATTACTCACAGCCTCTCTTGTCGCACCAGCATCGCAAGCTACCAGAAGTAGCATTAACGCCAGTGTTACCGGTATTCAGCGCGTCTTGGGCTTTTCCGGGAAGGCGGCTGCCGCCAGCGCTGCTGCTGCTGCCTGCATCACACATCTTCGTGTGCTACAGCTTCTGCGTATGCCGTCCATGCTGCGGCGAGGACGGCCGCAGCAGTAGCACGACTTCCAAATTGTACGAGAGCGTCGAACGTCAACTGCGAGTGGATGACAGCAATAGGAAAGACAGAGCTACTGAAGGGGAGACATTTTTAGCGAATACAACAGACTGCCTTCACATAGCAAAGCGGCGATGTTTACAGCTGTCTGGAAGGGGGTAGCGTGAAACCATGCAGCTAGACGCTGTTCGCTGTTGGGGATTGGGAATGTGAGCTGGAGAAATAAAGTAAAAAGGTTTCGTTTGTAGTGGCCACTTGGTTTGGGGTTTTTGGCTTGATTTTTTTTCAAACTTGAAGCCAGTCATTTTGTTTAATCCATAACAATTCTAGCCGGCTCGAGAATTGTTCCTGCCCAGTCTCTCTAAATGCCATTAATAACGCCAAAATCGCTATCACAACTGGCCCTATTACCGTGGCTTTCGCCTATACTATTTGTAAATAAAATAAACTATAGAATAGAACCCAGAAAAATTTAGCAATTTTTTGTAGTTTACGTTGCTAAGCTACTTTAAGGTTGACACTGACACCTTGTAAAGGCGTTTGGCTATATGTGTTCGTCATAGTAATCCTGAACTTACGGAGCACGCTGGTCGGCACAATCATCAAAACATGGACAATTAGGAATTAGGATAATAGACAAATTGATTCCAAAATAGACTGGGAAGTTAAATTAACTTCCTAATAATGGTGGCGTAACCTATTGGCTAAACTTCTAGCGTATGGCAATTAGCCCAGTACTGTTAGGTAAGATATAGACAGTTACTGACCGTTTACATTTTATGGGCTTCTTTTGATTCGATTCCCAGAGCTTTCACCTGACTGCAGACGAGCACTTGGGCTGCTACTTCAGGGACATACGTGGGTCGACTATATGTTCCAATGTAAAGCCGCTGCTGCTAGTGAGCAAAATGGCGAAAAATGAAAACTTCAAAAGAGTCTCCCTGATTTAGTTTCAGGATCCTAGGCTAGGGAAGGACTGTTCGAGGAGATGGCACCTATTCACACAAGGAAGGTGCCAAGGAATCCAGCAGGAGCAACAATGAGAGAGGTCTATTCTTCATGTGTTGCAGCCGTTGTCAACGCCTTATCGCGGCAGAAAAATATATTTTTCCGCTTGCGGTAGGCCTAACAGGGGAGGAGGTGCGGAGGAGAAGGTTGGAGTGAAGTGCATGAGCAGCTTGCCGGCTACCGTATAACCCGTCCAGTCAGCTAGCCGGCCGGTTGACGTTGGACCGGCGCTAACGCGGCGTACCTCAGCTGGCGGCATTAGCCAGCGAAACAGGACGAAATGAGGAAGCTATCTAGAGTCAAAGGGCCGGGACCTGGGACAACGGCTAGGACCACAGGCCGCTTGGCCAGCGAAAACCATGAAACGACCGGACACGCGCCCAAACAGCAGAAGCAGCAGCAGTTAGAGCAGCAAGCAGGTCTTCGTTCGTTCGCTCCGGTTCGTTTGATCTCAACGTTATTCGAAAAAGAGGACAGGTGGTAGTAGGTTTCCTGATAAAACTCCAGAGAAAAAGGGGTTCGACGAGTAAATTCACCTCTCAGTCGTCCCAGATAATAAGGAAGGCAATGTCGCCCCACGTATACGTTCCAACAAGGCAGACGAACAGATAGCGAAGTCCTCTCAGTAACGGGTTCGTCATTCTGTCTTTAGAGAATGTAAACAAAAGACACCTTAATAGGAACGAGCACGTTTACGTGGTACCGCTGGTAACCTTGATACGTATATAATTTTCTAAGCTCGTTTTTTGGCTTTCTCTGGTATAATAAGGAATGGTAAACAAATGGTCTGTTCAGGGTATGGTGCATACAAGTACATGCAATAATGTCTAATATTAGTTTCAATCCTATTATATTGCACTCACCGGATCGACCGCAGGATATCGCCTCCTGCTTTGATTCGCAGGAAGGTGTTGTCTGTCGTGGCGGTGTGAAAATACGCGCTCTTTTCGTTAGCGAAGAAAGTATCAGGCACCCAGATCTTGTCGGCGACCTCTGCGCCGACAATCATGGAGTCCAGATCTTTTGTGCGAGTAAACGACAGCCGCTCGTCCCGCCAGGTTTGGCGAAAGTAGAAATCCGATGTAAAATCCTTCAACACGACAGCGCCGATGAAGCCAAAGAGGATGATGATGAGAAAAAGGTCAACGTCGTCGCATAATAGCAAAAACACATGAAGCGAAATAAAGATTTATACGTAATACGCGTGTCCTTTAAGCTTTTCGGTCTCTTCCAATGAAGTTAGTTATAATCTCAACTCAGCCTTTAGCCCTGCAGTGTCGGCGACTGGTGTCGCTGCTCGTACTCCGACCTCCCATACTCAGTCACTCTCGTCCTAGTCGTTTCGTTCACCTACACCCTATCGAAATAGTAGCCATTGCCTTACCACGTCCTGAAGGTCTACCTACCCACCCTGTCTTCCGACCTGGCCTCAGCCAATCTTGTCTAAGCGATCTTTTTATCGCAGCCTCTTGCGAACCGCCCACCGTTGCTTTGGCTACCATGTCGGGAATTCGAAAGCCTGACAACTATTTTCTATTCTCGGTTCTTCTCACCCCTTTCGCTAGTGCGCAAATGTGCGCCACCATCGATTGCGGCGAGGATTCGTTATGCGCATGTATGGGATTTTTGTTTTCTTTTTTCCCGATACTGTTATGGCTTTCATCGGCTTTTCGTAAACACAGGGCATTGTCGTCTAACGCAACGTACACACATTTGGTAGGTCATTCGGTAAGGACGGGGTATCGCAACCGCTAGCTAGGTGACGAGGCACGTTTACTAGGCTGTGTGCCTTCATATACGTTTCTTTTTTTTTTCTCGAGTAAATCTACTCGAACAACTGATATACCAAAGGCGGATGTTTTTGGAACACTGACTGTATCAAGCGGGGAAATTCATTTTTCTTATCAGCAGTAATGACAGGTTTCCCTATTTTTAATTTTCACTCATATCTCGTTGACCTCGAAAAAAAAGAACCGATTTATTTCGAGGCTAATAAACATTTATCGGAAAGGCTGACTTTTAAGTGGAAGCATACACGTTGGCGCCATACTTGGTAACCGGACTAGGTATTTGTGACATCATATCTCAAAGGCAACAAGGCGCAGTATTTAAATCGAAGTACGAGGCAATTCTATTTTATGCTGAAGTTGAAGGAAGAACCCCAGGAAGACAAACAATCTTCAATTTAAATCCCTGTCTCTCTAATAATGAGTGATTAAGTTTACTATCTGTTAATTCAGAAACAAAGTTTCGTATAATAATTGTTTATTAAATTATTAATTAAAGCAATTTCAATGTTTGTAATCTTACGTACCTATCTGATTAACTACCAACGTTAATGCAATGACCACTTACCATCTGTACCTCAGAGACAGTACTTATACTTATAATCTGCATGGTAATCCCGACGTCAACTGGCGTCCCACCGTAGTTAGGACGCACCCGCTTGTCGTACTTGCCCGACTCGAAGAACGACCGAAGGATGTTTGAGACGTTCTGGCCTTTCATTGTTAGGCTGAAATTCGATCATAACACAAAAAAAAAAGGCGAGTGGTTGATTTTCCGGCTTTCTGAATCTCTGATTGAGTCTAAGATAAGACTAATCCTTTTCGGAGATTTGTTTCAACGAAATTAGCTCTTCTTGAAGTGCAAGAATACATGTGGATATGCTGTAGACACCTTTCCCCTGTTTCTGCCATTACGATATCATTTCGTACGGTGTCGGCACACAGTTCACGGTGATTTCGCATTATAGTTAACTAATTGCTGCTGGAAAATAGGATTTCGTTTTGGGACAATCTCTTACTTATCTATTATATACCTTATCATGGACACAGCATCAATTTTCAAGTCGATGTTTTGTAACTGTAAACATTAGAGTTAGTAGCTTATTTAATAATTCAAAATGGCTGTTGTTTCTAGCGTGTAAGCCACAGTATTGTTCAACTCGCATGGCTTTGGTGGAAGTCATTTTAGTCGGCCAACGGCAGATACAACGCGGAGGAAATGACAAACCACACGTTAATACTCTCATTCCTCAGAACGGCGTCTACGGGATGCGTCTGCTTCAAGTGTGCCTCTCTAGCCCAAGCCGGCGCTGCCGTCCACACGAACTCACAGAAAAAAAAACAACTACAGAAGTAGAAGTGTAAAAACGAATAAAAAATAAGGGGAGAAGGAGCTAGAAAAAAAACGCCGCAACGGCAAGCCGCACTGAACGCTGTTGTACAGAGTTTCGACGAAGAAGAACGGTGACAAGGGTTGCTCCGACTATCTTACGTCGACGGCCCAAGAATACCCCGAAAGTCAGGGCCTTCTTACTTCGGATGATCCAACGGTATGCTTCTGAATATCTAAATTTGTATATGCATGTATGGAAACGAAGTGTGAGAGAATAGATGACAGCAAACAAAACGAAGCACAGAAAGAGCGGTTTAAAGACTCCGGGCAGTGACCTAGAGCAGCACAACGGAGCACACGGGTGTAACAGTGCGTACCCAAATAGTACACAGATGTAGACCCGGTCAAAACCCCAGCGACAAGCTGCCACGTAGATACGGACGACAGTACAGCTGCTTTGGCGATGGACAGTAACAACAGCATAACAGTAAAGTTAGCCACTAACGTACCTTATTCTACTCAGCTGAACGGCAGATCGAGTTGAACTGCCGCCCAGCAGTGCTGCAACAGGAGGGTACGGGTTCCGAACGTCCGCTCCAGCATAAGAGGTAGTGTTGGTTTAATGCTGTTCGTGTTAGTGGCAGGCAAAACGGCGCCGTTAACGAAAGAACAGGGCGCAAACGGGTTGTAGGGCGGGAGGAGGGGGATAAAGGGATAAGAGAATCAGGCGTTGCCAGCAGTATCAATCCCGCTTTCGCACACATTGATGTGAATAGAACAACTCCGATGCCGGGCCCGTGCTAACGCTGCGATACAATGTTATATCTGGCTGGTGGTGGTGGGGTTGATGGGAAACGCCGGTGGGGAAAGCCTGCCGCAAGGTACTTTTTCCCTTTCCATCTCTCTATTTTCTCGGCCTTTTTCAGCTCTCTCATAGTCTTCCCCGGTGTCTCTTCTTGATACAGTTGCAGCACACCGGCTTTGCTGCTATTGCAGCCGTTGAACGCGCTGCGCGTAATTTCGAAACTGGGAGTTTCGAAACTCCGTGCGGCCAAGATCCGCAAAAAGACCATGAGCGTAAGATGTATGGAGAGTATGCAAGGTTGCAAAGGTGCCCATCGTACACCTTCACGCACACTCGCGTTCGATCAAGGCATGTTTTTCACGCTCTTTTTGCCTCATACATGGGCAAGCTGCGGTACTTCACGTCAGCTTCCCTAGCTTAGGGCTGCTTTTTCTTAACAGGAAATTAACAATATGCACAAAGTTGAGATGAAAACCATGAGGTGGTATGAGAATAACGGACAGGCTATTGGGCCACAAGACAACCAAGCTGCGACATCAGCGCACTAATCTACAAACGTTGATGATTATACGACGCTTCTGTTGTCCGTTCAAATTTACCAGTGCGTTCCAGTTCAAAAGAACGCGCGTATTTTGTATCCTATAGTTTAAAAAAATGAAACAGTACGATCGAAAAGACAGCATTGTCTTGAAAGACGTGTCATAGTTTTTTCTCTGCTTAAGCAAAATCTCGAACGAGCTGTTTCTGCCCCGGATTGTGTTTGGATTTTATAATGCAAAGAAAGCCACGTGATGAGAACTGCGATGAAATTATAGAGTTAGAAAATGATCTAAGAGCACTGTGTTTTCTGCTTATATAAGAAGTAAACCTTAGGGGTGCTCGGTCTGTTTCGTCTGCAGCAGCAGCGGCAGCAGTTCTGAAAGTTGAATGATTGAACGTGTTGATCTTTAAAATCCAGAAACATTCGTGAAGGCCTAAGCCTAGGTCTTGAATATGTACAGATCCAATGGACGAGAATAAGGTTGTTAGGTCAGCATTAGCTTACGACAGTGGTAACACGGCACGCACAATAACGGTACTGTCATATAAGTATGTACCTTAAAACTGTTAATTAATGTTTCGGCTGTAATAACAGCAACTCTCGCTGTTTGTTGGTCAGTCCGAGTTTTCGTACACAACAAGATCTACTTAGAGATATATGATGAAGAAGCAAACGTGTCGCCAATACCCATGGCAACACCTAAGTTGTGTAGATATTCAAGCACTTGGTGAGGTGCTAAGCTTGGATTCGGCCATGCGACATATACACGTTTTGGCAAATTGTAAATTCACAAACATAAACACTATCTTGGTCCAATCAGTTTAAAGATCGTCATTTTCATAAACAAATGCTATAACATTATGCTTTCAGGCAAACCCAAGTCCTAGCACTTAATGCCATTTGACTGGTACACATTTTCCATGAAACATCGCTTTTCAAGGAAAAAGGAGCAGCTTGAATATTACTCAATAGTGATTATACATTAAACGTATGCAGCGTCTTCTTTGTGCAGGGTAGAGAGAAAAATGCAATCCTACGTTTTCTTCGAGGGTGTACATATTGGAGCATCGTTGATTTTGTATGATTCAACGAACTGCTTAAGATTGGTCTGAATTACTCAGTACGAAAATATCCCACAGACGTATGGCAAACAAACAAAAACAAAGGTAAAAAAATAGCAAAACAGCGAGTTCAGGCAATTGGGAAAAGTAATTCCCAGCGTTCTGGAATAGTTGGGCAATACGAATGCTCGACTTTTTGCCCAAAACTATTTTATTAGGACTGCGCTCGTGGCCCGCTCTCACTTGGGCGCAGCTTTCGGTATAATTCTTGCGCTAAACGCCAGCTTCATCCGCGAGCCTTTTTGGTGTCTCTAGCCATACTCAGGGCATCCTATATGAGTGAAAAGCCTGCCAAGGATCACTTTCGTCCTGTTTGGAAAGCTGGCCGTTTGCCAATGAACATACACGTTCATTTCTCTGAAAATATTTCACATGAAACTGGATTGAGTCCAGAAGATTTACTACGCGAGCCAGCACAATTGAGTTTTAACTTGCAAATCAAAGAATATGGCTGTCAGTTCTGATTTTCGAGAGAATTACTGATGATTCTAAGGGCTTTAAAAAAAAGTTACTTTCCAAAAATGCTGTGTTCATACAACAGGTGTGACAACTAGCGATAAAACAACTAACTTCGACTATCTGTACTTCTAGTGTATATGTCTTGTTGCGGACTCAAAACGGCGGAAGTTCATAGAACTTTTGTGATCGTTCCGGCTAATACCAAGCCAATCTTGTCACTTACTTAGATGACAGGCGTTTTAGTATTTGTGAGAGGGGATTTTTGGACAATAAAGTGGTCTCAAGCGATCAGCCAGTACACAAATAGTGTAGTTATTAACAAGCGTTCTAATTTGCGATTGAACTGGGGGCTCATATCAATTTACCAAATGATTTTAGGGACCGTAATTGCTCTTCAAGTCACCATCGCTAGCCTATCTCAAGGAACAACATGTTGGTGCCCTAAAAACCTCGATTTGATTAGCAGTTTTGGAGATGAACCGGGCAGGTTCAACATTAGAAACTCCTCTATGATAATGGTTTCGTCTCTGCGGTGTCTTAGACTAATCGGACTCCTCTATGACGTTCTGTTCTTGATTCGAGAAGCTCTCTTTATTCTTTTTAGAACTATCATAGTGATTCTCTACGATGGAAATAAATCAGGTCAACACAGTTGGTTGATGGCCAACCCTGGAAATAGTTTTATGCAGAAACAAATTATATAGCCGTTGCCCAAAGCATCCGATGCGAAAGAACTAAACATTGGAGTATCATTTTTTTATTCTCCTCATAAAGTTCATCACCGAGATCAAATGACGATACCTGACTACGTGCAATATGCATTCCGGCTTATTTTATATAAACTATATAAATATATGTTCTGCTGGTTATGTTCGATGCCTCAAAGAGGTTTGGGGAGAACTCGAGGGGCATAAAACGATTGCACAAATCGAAACCATAACTGTTTTGTGGTCCTAATAGGTTATACACTGTCTAAAATATGTCGAGGTATCGCTGGTTTTCTCCGGTCCTCTGTCAAGCGCTACCGATGTGTCAACATAGAATAATTGAGACGAGGTGATCTATTTATATGTTTATGGCTAATGTGTATTTGAAATTTCAGGACAAAATAGCGGCGGGCGTGCTGCGAATAGGAACGCTACTCGAAGTTTCATCCATTTTTTTCGCTGAGAAAAAGCGCCTTTGCTTATCCAGCTAAGTCTTGTGTGCGGTTCTACATTGCTGCCATTGTTTGCTGCAAACAGTTGCTGGGGTGGTAAAAGCCAATTATTATTACGACAAGTATCTAGCTCCACACACGCAAGGAAGACAAAAAAATGTCGGCTACTTACCCGGGCCGTAGATTTGTCTGCGTCGAGCTTCTTGCGAATACAAGAACTAATATCGCAAAGACGCTGATCCATCCCGACAGCTTGCCGGCCCCAGCTCTTCGAATCAGTGTGGCCAGCTTCATGTTTAGGGATCTTCCTCGTGCGTCTTCAACTAGATAAAACAAGGTGATGAAATGATGATGATGATAACCAAGTTAAACTGTATGGCAAAATGCCAATTATTCGTCTGAGCAGTTTTGAGTGGTGGTGACCTTCTAGCACCTTCTGGTTGTTGGCCCAAGTTCCATTTGAAGCTGAGTCTTGAAGTCTTGATCAGAGCACAGGCTTGAGTTGAGATAAGGCGCCCTAAACACTTTTAAGGGTTTACCTGGCTCTGATTTTGCTATGTGCTTGTTTGTTTGTTGCTTAATGCTCACTGAAACAGATCTGGCACTAATTTGTCTCTACTTTCCGTCTATGCCAGACCGACAGTCAACAGCGCGGCCTGATTGTTGTCCGTTCCTATTTTTTTTTTACCAGTAGTTGCAACTGTCGTACAAAAATAAGCTTATAGTACTCAGAAGTCGTTACTAATGTTATCTTGTCTCTTGTTTTCTTACTTGCTTTTTATGAAGCATCTATAATACACTCGCCTAGACCTGGTGATTCTGCGTTACTGCTGGCTAGTATCTAGGACCTAGAGTGGACTATGTACAAAAAAGGTGGCTGTGGCTGTTATTATAGGCCGAGGGCCTTTGAGGACTATCTTCTTCCTCTTGGTCTGCCGCTGCTGTTGACGCTGTTGCTTCTGCCGCTATTATTAGTGCCGATACGGCCTCTTTGGCCTGTTGTAGGATCGGCTCAGCAGAGGCGACCGGATTTTGATGGGACGGTCGTGGACTATCGCGGGTTTGCGTCCAGCCCGGCTTTTCGTGCATTCGCGGACCGGCGTAGGTTGCCCGGGTCGCACCAGCTGCCGAAATAGCTGCTGGAGGAACCCTGGTAGTACTTCAAGGAGGCACTTGGGCGCTTAAGTCAGATACTCCGAGGATCACACGTCAGTGACCACGGATCGTGGCCGAAAACAATGACGGGATGCCTCACTGTCACTTGGTCACAAAAAAAAGGAGCACTCTCTTATTTCAACGGACTACGTGTATGGTGGGCGTTTTGATTAGCTGTTGCTCCGACGTGTCGGTGTCGTTCCTGTTAGGCTTCCTTCCTTTGCCCTTTCTACTGCTGATGTTATCTATGTCGGGTGGTGACGCATTCGGCAAGATGGCTCTTTTGAAACGCGTTGATTTTCATGTTTATTGCTTATTCTCCTAATGGACGAAGCGTTGTTAGTGTAGTCAGGATTCCAGAAGTAGGGTCCGTAACCGTCCCTTGTTCGAGGTAGGCGACCACGGTTGGTTTAAGTCAAACGAACAGAGAGATCCTACTGCTAGCTTAAAATGGTTAGCAATAATGTCCAACTTCCAGAAATTGAAGTCGAAGAGCAGTTTACTAATAACAATCCAATATCCAACAAGCCCAAGTTATTGAGGATAGTAACGATGATGTTCAGGTATGTTCTGTTTTTGTCGTTCGTCTGTACGGAGGCGCTTGCTTGGTCGGGCCGAATCGCCAAGATCCTGCTACGCAACAGGACTTAAGGCTGACAATTCAAAGCAAAGCATTCACCCCACCCGATGACTGTCTGTCTCCCTTCCGCTCTGGACAAGCTGTATACCTTATCCCAATGGATGGACTTGTCGATCCTGGTACACTGAACAAAACTCAGAAGCTCATCAACTTAGACTATCATTGCATCAGCGCCTAATGATCAGACGACGTTCGTTAGTTACCGATCGCTGGCGACATCCTCTTCATTGTCGGCTTGGCGCGAAAGATGTCTACTGGTAATATTCTGCAGAATGGAATAGAGTTACGGTATTCTTATTTGTTTAATGAAGGCCGCATGCTTATTAGCTGTTACTCAGTGATACTGCGTTTCTGCTGCTGTCGCTGCCGTCGCTTATATCCGCGTATGTGCTGCCGCCGTTAAATTTCGTCAAGTATATTTTAGTTTGTTCTTTTATTTGGTTTGTACTACGATATTGTATAGGCTTGCACCGTATAAGCCGGTAGGGGCCGTTCCTCTTCTTCAAATGATTCGTCTAACTGTTCTGCAGTGTTAACTATATCGAGGTTAGTTAATTGAATAGCTGGTTAGTTGATAATATAATTGCAATAGTACTTTAGCTAGCTCGCTATTGCCATTTGCTGCTCGTATCAAACTGTGATACTGGACTAGTTATAACAGTTACAGTGGTGGTAACGAACGACGCTAACAATGGAGTGAAACTTTCTTCTAGCGGGGATTAGTGCCGTCACCGTTAGTGCGTAGAACTGATACATTTGTTGCAGTTATAGCAAGAGCTGTGGATGAATATCTTATCCGGTGGGTGTATTTATCGATCTTGGCCTCGTTTTGTTTTACTTTCTGCTAGTCGCTAGTATCTGAACCTCGTTCGCCCCGTCACTGACGATGTAAATGTGCCCCTTTTCGCCATTGCTGCTGAATCATAAAAAGTAGATATAATACGAATTACGTCCTTCTTCGTCTGCTTCTGCCCTCGTGTTATTTCAATTTCGTTGCTATACTCTAGGGTTACTGTAGCCTGCTAGATCCTGCGTTTGTCATGTTTGCTTTGTCACGCGTTGACATACGTCGCCATTTGCCGGTTGACTCTCTCAGTCAATCGTAATACTAGAATATTATCTTGCTGTTAGCTCGCGCTGTTGCTTTGCTAGCAGCGGATATAACAATTGCTGGTAGTATTGCTCTGTCCTGAGCGGGTTTTTTCCCCTTAAATTTTCGCTTTATTGGCTTACTTTCTGTTTGGCTGTTTTTCAGACGTCTGTTTCCAACGGACACACACATACACATACATGCACGTACGCACGTTTTCTCTTGTTGCGCGAGATCGGGTGTCGTTTGGTAGTTGTCGTGAGTTGAAGACTTTGTCTGATTGTGAAGACGTCGCCGAGAAGCGGATAAAAGACAGCAGCAGCAGCAGCAGAAGCTGCTGCTGTTCTCATCAAAAACAAGTTTTGCTTTTGGCTTTAGCTTTCCTCGAAAGGTCCTCTCTTAGGGTTTATTTCCGTATAAGTTTCGTTTTTTGGGTTGTGTTCTTATGGGTTACTTTCCAGAATAGTTGAGACGGCAAAACTGATTCGGTTCTGATTGAGCTAGAGTGGATCACTTACGCGATTATGCTAACTTGCTTGGTAGCTTGCCTGGTAACTTGTCGTCTTGCAGCAACAAGTTCCGCTGAGGAGTTCCTCCTGAAAGTTCGGCGTCACGTGATTTTTGGTTGACTATTTTGCTGAAGGCTAGGCTAGGTCCGGCGGGTACTAATGATGATATTGCTGCTGCCGCTTCTATTCAAGCTGTGCCGATTTCACAGTCGTCTGTTTTGTTATTACCAATTTTCGTTAGATCATACACGTTTTGATCGACGTTTCTTCGTTCAACTGATCAATTGCTTGCTTATATCTGCTGATATATCTCGCAGTGTTGATGACGTCTCGTCCGCAGCTGCTCTGGCATATACCCTGTGATGATAATAATAACTCTGTAGTAAACGGGGATATAGCTGAGATACGTTAAGGCCAGAGCGAAAACAAAACAATAGGCGTTATTTTTTCAACTGACGGCTGAAATCGGTAAGCAGGTTAGACCGCTGCGCGTCACCGCTGCGTAGGAACGATTCTACCGAACGATGATAGGGGGTCTTCTTGCCTTCTAACTGTCAGCCTTCGTTAACCGTATTGCAGTTCAACGCTAGTTCAATTCTAGAAGTAGCAGTCGTAGTGGAGCTGTGTTATTCCGCGATTCTCTAACGTTTGTGTGTATATGTATATATGTACGTATGTATGTATATATATGTATGTACTGGTATAATCGTATTATAAGGAGCACGCGAAATTCGACGACTCGCTCAATCCGTAATAGCAGTACTAGCTAGTTACAGCAGTTGTGTGTATGAAAGCAACAATCTTTCTTTACTCTGAGATATAAATGGATCGGTAGTTAAGATTCTCTTTTTCCGATCGTCTGCTTATGTTTCTGTTTCTCTCGTTCAATAATTTACGTAGTAATCACGTAATATTAGTAGTAAGTATTATTAGTATGTAATGTACTGTTTGTGGTAATCTGTAATATTGTAGTAATTATCTGGGCTGATTGGGCGTTCTCTGCTGTCTCGTTGCCTGCGTGGTCTCGCTCGCTATGGTCAGGCCAGCGCAGTATTCGCGCTGCCTTTTTTTCCGTAGTTGTCGTCGTCGTCGTTATTGTTATTACGTTGGCGTTTGTGGTCTTGCACACTAATCCTGCAGTCCTGCAGTGATAGATTATCCAGGGCGCGATCGACACGTTTTTCGCTTCATTCAATCGATCCGACTAATCTTTTTCCTCTGCGCTCGTGTTTGTAGCAGTTATTGACAATACGTCGATGTCACTCGTGTCTTGAGCTGTGATCAATGTTAAAGCAGGAAAATCGAATCGATAAACAACGGAGAGTATGGGCCAGTAGTTTTCCTGGCTGATAGCAGAGATAAAGAAGGTCCATTCGGATTTTTCGGAGAATTCACACTCGTAAAAAAAATGGCCATTAAACAAGAATGGCGTGTCAAGGGGTGTCGATGGTTGTCGTGATCTTGCTATTGGGGGTATCGAATAATCATATCGTTTGCCTGCTTTATTTTGAGTCGAAATCGATCTGATTTTCTGGTTGTTTGTTTGTCAGCTCTTCGCTGAGGACTACAGGATATTTGCTCAACGAGAAAACCAACTCGTTTGGTCAATGTTCGCCTTGACGTTGCTGTCTTTTGGGCTGAAATCGTGGGATATCCTATGCTCTGACGCTGGCTGGTCTCAGAAATGCGAATTATATTCTTCTTCCCTTTATGTCAGTTGCTTCTGATGACGAGGACTGGTGCAAAGATGGCGCAGTCCATTGACGGCCACTTCGTTTTAGCCGTAGTACGAATCATTCCAATTGGTGACGTTGTTTTAATGGTAGGACAATAGTCCTCTTCTTATTTTAAGGCTTCAGTGTATTTTTCAGGCTGCTGGTGAACAGTTGTTCTCGGAGTATGTGGCTTCGTTCGTTGTTTCTTCAATCTGTTGTCTTCGTTCTGCTTCTTCTTTTCTGCTCTATTTCTTGTTTATTACGTATAATTTGCTGGTTCAGTAGCGTCTTATGTCGTCCTTGTCTTCTAGTTGATCGGGCTAACGAATTACGTACGATTTAAATAAGATGATGACAATCATAACAGTAGAAGTAGTGATGATTAATATGAAGATCGCAGTAGTAATTGCAATGAAAATTGTCTGCGTTAGCGTAGTATTATATACATTGTAAGTTTACTGCTAGATGGTACACTCGTGGTGAGCACGTGTCGCTTGTTTACTTGCTGATATCCATTCGTTGAAGTTTGTTGAGTTGGCTCCTATATTGTTTGCTCGAAAGGGCGAAAAATAAAAACGTGAATCATTAACGTTTTTGGTATGTTTTTGCCTTTTTTTTTTGTCGTCTTCTTGCTATTATTATTGTTTCTTCTTAAAATAAGTATTATTACGATGATTCGTTGACTAGCACAATAGAGACATGGTCCAATGCTGTGGGTTCTTTCTCTTAGCGACAAGTGGTTCGCTAGCTTCGCTTCATTGAAAAATATGTCTCTCACTGTCAATAGTTTTCCTGAGATTTTCTTGTAGTATAGCTGTTTTTAATTCATTGGTGTTTTTTTGTCCAGACAATGTTAATCGTCTGGTTGTTATTGTCCTTATTATTGATGTTGCTGTTTGCCCCGCTTCGTTGCTGAGGCTGGGCTATGCACGACCTGCGAAGAAGCTCGAGGGCTCGCTTGTGCACTAGTTTGTCCTACTGATTTGACTTTGTTGTTGTTTATTATTTCTTTTGCTTACTGTTAGTTGTTATTTTGGTTGGCTTCATTTATCTCATTGCTGCTCCGTTGGCCGATTTATAATGGTCGTAGGGTTGCGTTATCGTCATATTCCTGTTGTAGCTGTTCATTCCTCTTAATGTTAATCGTTGTTGTTGTTGTTGTTGACGTTGCAGTTGACTCTGATGGTGACCATTAAGGTTTAAGGACCGTTAAAGGTTACGCGGACGCGGAACCGAGCTGGGCTAACTGAGCGAACGGAACCGAAGCTAGGAAGCCGGCTGTGCGAGCATGCGACCAACAGTAGCTAACCACTAGGTCGACACAGACAAGAGCACAATTCCAGCTGATCGTAGCTGATGATCGTCGTCTTCTTCTTTTGCTTCCCTTTTTTTGAACTAAATGGTAACGCAAGTGTCGAACGCTCCGGAGGGGACGCTCGCTGGCACGGGGGCCCATCAAGAACGGCGCCCTGAGCGGCACATGCTCGAGGGCCTTCAGCTGCCGTCAACGAAGCTCGAGACCCAGAGCAGTCGCTTCATGCCGCTCCTCGTCCTGCCTGCAAAATAATTCATAAAGATAACAAGGAAAAAACGATAAATCTTGTTAGTTGAATGTCACTTACACTCTATATACGCACAAACTAACTTCGTCGGATGTAGCTTCGTTTTCAGCCATTATACTTTGCACTTTAACCGATTGATCGATGCTATATCATAGGGCTACACACAGCAATAGTCAGAAGCATAGTCCGGATTACTAGATATACGTGTGCTGCCTTAACATCTGTTGTTGTTTGCCTGCCGCTGTTGCCGGTTGAACTATACTATTCATCCATTGTAGCTGGACCTATCATTCTATTCACAGAGAAACGTAAACGAAGATGTCTCTTAGTTGAGAGGGCACGTATCATGACCGCATTCTGTGGCTGGGGTTCTTCCTCCGCGCACATAGATTGAGACACAGACCCTCTGTACACGTGAAAACGTCACCGAAACAAAGGGACAGTTATACCGGGAAAGGCGTCTGGACGAAGCTTGTGCAGCCATTCGCTTTTGCATACACGCAAAATATATACATCCGCCCTCAACCGCACGTTTACAAACAGATACAGAAATATGTCCGTTCGTATGTCTTCGGAGAGAAAACAGTTTCGTATTATGCCCGCTTTTCTTCCCGATTCTCTCAAACGCTAAGCTAATATCGAATATTGCGCTAAATACAGCCACGACTACGACTCGCCCAACGGGCAGGTGCTTCGTAGGACACAACAGTCCCACGCGACACTACCTTACTCCACCGTAGCCAGGTCCCACGGCCGTCAGCAAAAGTCGGGACAACGGAGCTATGAATCGAGCTTAGTCGTATGGGAACCTTGTCAGTTCTCGAAGTTATGTTCGACAGTCGCCCAGGCCACAAGTAATGTTTCCGCCTTCATCGTCACCGTTAGATGTTGCTGCACGACAATGTCTACTATGCAAAGATGGTAAACAGTGGAAGCAGCATGAGCGGCAAGGTGACTGAAGTCGATTTTATCTGCTTTTTGTTCCATCCCTTCATCTTCCGTATCATGGCCCATCGCACACCAGATGCCTACTCCCCTCTGTTACCCCCTTAGAATCTGAACAGCTGCACACAACGCAGCATAGAGAAAGAGGTCTGTTGGACCCTGCTATTGCGTTCTACAGCACTGGTCAAGGCAGTAGAGGAAGAAGTTCTGTCTTTCTGCTCGTCCCGTGCCCCGCGCTCCCCCTTTGCCCCTTCATTCTGCCCGTACAATATCCATTCTGCCCTGCAGATGTGCCCAAGAAGCTTTCGGACAGGGATCACTATACGATTCGCCGAAAGCAACCAAAATGTCGAGTACAAACGCAATGGCCGACCGCGGACCTTGCGAACAAGACTACTACGTTAGCAATTATGCCGTACAACACTTAGGAAACGATCAAGTTAGCGATCTTAAAATGATCACATATCTCTTTCAAAAAGCTATTGATTTAGCTCGTTTCTGTTTTGAATTGTTTCTTAACCAGTTAGAGATATTCGCGCACAGGGAGCTCAGTAATGCTAAAGTAGGTCAAGTTAGCACAGCAGTGGAATGAAACCCATGAGAAAACTAGATGACGACGAGTATTCTGTCTGTCGTGAGCCGGCATTACATTGTTCAGCGCCAACATCTGTGACATGTTTTTCATGTTCTCGTCATTCAGGATTAATGGCGACGACAACAACAGAATCAGGGTTTATGTACAGGCGGGCAGAGATGAAACTAACTTGGACGAACGGGCCGATTGTTGTGTCGACACTGTTGCGCGGCCATCGGTTAGTCCTCGTACAGGCAGAGCAGTAAGCCAGGGCTATTTGAGCCTAAACGGGGAGAGCCGTTGAGATGTGACACCACATAAACATCACACGCACACGACGGGTAAACATAGAAGAGATAGACGTTGCATTTCTTATCCAAGACCTTCAAGGGTGTGCTGTCGTTGTGGCCCATTCATTCGACAACGTTGCCGAACCAGAGCGATGTACGCTCCAAAAACCCGGATGTCATAACCTTCACAGGCACCACACACTAATGCTAATGTTGAGAGGCAACGGCAACAACGGAAGAGGCAGACAGGTAGACAAGAAGAGCCAGGCCATAGGCGCCTTGCTTGGTCGGAGTTGAAAGCGGCGTCAAGTCGTTTAAAATATCGTATTGCTGCACACATTGCGTATCATAATCGTTGCCTAGATCGCTTACGTCAACGTTGGCCGCCAAGAGACTCATTTTTGCGGGCGTCTGGTGACAGAAAACGTGCAGGATGGTAGGAACAGCATTGCTGGAAGTCGTCAGCAGCGAGGAGCCCAGCCAGCGAGCCACAGCGCCAGGGACGTCCGTCTGTAGGTCCTTGGTGGTGGAGGAGCGCGCGCTGCCAGCGCAGAGAAGGCTGGTGCCGCCGACTGTCGCTCAGCGGTACTCAGTGAGTCGACCCGCGTAGAAGAGGGGCTCCTAACTCCTTCAAGCTTTTCCTGAGGCTGCTTAAGCGGTAGGCCGAGGCGGTAGCGGCGGCGGGGGTGGCTAGTGCTGCTGCTGCTTCTACTGGTGGAAGTTCCGCTCGGGCTTTGGGTTTTCGTTTAGGCTCTTTGCTATTGCGAGGAACAAGGAGGCCGCCGAGCTCGTCCGTCAGGACGGACGAGTCAACGCCTCTCAACCTCCTACGACGCTGTCCCAGTGTATAGTATAGTCTCGCCTCACACTCAGCCAGCCTGGCCGGATGGCAGACTCAGGCACACCGCTAAGTAGCGGGAGAGCCTCTTCGGCGTGAGGCTGGATGCCTGCATTTAGCCTCGCTATAGAGGGGAAGGGCATACAGCACAGTGGCCTAGACGCTGCACAGAGATAGCATGGAGCGGGGTATAGAAAACGAAGAAACTGCACGGCAGGCCCGGGAGAGTTAGCGCTCAGGTTGTAAGGCTAGGACAACGATGCCAACGGCTGAATACCATTAGCGGAAAAAAACGCAGACGCAGGCCGGAGCTGGAGCAAAATCTAAGACCTCCAAAACAGCAGTTGCAGTAGAAGTACTATTAACAGTAACAGCGTAAACCAATACTAAACAACGACAGCGGATTTAAAGCTCAAAGGATTTTCGTAGTAACGTTTCACGACGGCTGAAGGTATTAATTGTGGCAGCGACAATAATTCGCTTGGCCGCGTAAGAGGGGCCAGCGGATGCGAACGCCAGCAAACTACAAGACGGGACCCATAGGAGAAAAAGACAACTACCCTTTAAACCTTTCTTTAGCTACTTGGTTTTTTCTTTGTAGTTTGCAAAGAGATTTCGATGTGTTTAGCAGGACGGCGGAAATGTAGTTAGAAGATGCCGAACGGTTACTGCAAAGTTACATGAGTCAAAAGTAGCATGATCTCTCGAATTTAGTCGAAAGGTGTACTTCCAGACATACTGTTAGCCTGGAAAAAAGAGAACTCTTCGCACTTCAACAGACTACTCAAAGAGGACTATTACAAAATGGAGAAAGAAAGGTACAATCTTATCTGTTGAATTCCGAGTAGCTGGCCCACATCACATAGTTGCTTCATCGTTTGCTGTTCAGCAGCAACCTCGGAAAGGTTCGCTGCTGCTGCACCCATCGCATGCTCCGTTACTTACACCCGATTATATAACGTAACCGATATGTTTCACTCAGGACTCTCTGGCTAATCCACCTTGGCCTATTCACTAGCCAGCCAGCCAGTTTTATTAGCAATCATCTTCCAAGCAGAACAGTCGGCTCCCCGAAAGTGGGCCATTAATTCCAGAGCTTGCATAAATGTGCAGTCTAGGCGATTTGATTACCTCTAGTACTGCTGACACGATTATCTACTCCGAAGATGTGCCTAATAGCTCCTACCTTTGATAACGGACCCAATGACTTCTAAACACCTTAGACAATTCCTATAGCGTTTAGTGGTTGTATGAAGACGATGTTAGGCCCCGTAAAGGGTAACCTGGTATCTTAAAAATGATTATGTAGTACTTTGCTGGATCGGTATAAAGTGGCCTATATCTGCGACCTACGATTGTTAAGTTATATCTCGAAGAACTATAAGCATTGAATTTCCTAGCCTTAAGCTGTTTAAGTAACATAGAAATATTTGTACAAAGATTGCTCTTCCCCGACCCGGTTACACAAATGAATGTACATACGAATATAATAGGATGATTCTTTTTTTGTTTTTTACTTTTTGGCTCACTAGAACGCAGGACTATGTTGTCGTATCCCTCCTGATTAATTATGAGGCAAGTATTCCTTTTATTTGTTCCCTTTTGCCATTCAAAATTATATTTGCTAATGGCTGTACTCTGCTTCGAAGGTTTTCTAACTTAAACTTTGTTTGCTGCAGTTCTAATGGTCTTGTCTGTTTCCACACGAACAGAAAGTGCGTGCTGTTTGTCGTCCTATGCCGTTATCAGAATAGTAGCAGCAGCAGTGTATGACCTTTACGCGCGTATGGTCCACCTTAGGGAACGGCGCCAATGCAAAAAGTTGTGAGTAAGAGCTAGGGGACTAACCAACTTCCGGGAGTAGGAGCAGCCGTCTGCACCAACATCCCTTCAAGGGGTCCAGAAAATCATAGGAGTGGGGAAGAGACGGAGAGGGCAATAGCGGCGGTTGAGGAGGACGGAAGATGCGGCCTCTAGCGCTCCTCGCTGCCTTGCTCCACATATTCTATCTTTCTCTCTCATAACGTATCGTTCTTGGTGCACCCCCTATACTTAAGTCCCTAAGGCTCCTCCGCGTTTACTCCCGTTTTCTTCCGTGGGTTTTCAAAAAGCCCGACTCCCCTACAGCTTCCTGCTCCCGTGAGCCCCACTTGCGCCTTTCTACGTCTGCCTGCCTGTCTATCCAGAGCACACGAGTACGAAGCACAGATCGACAGGCAGGGCGCAGGAGGACAATGGATGAAGAGCACGCTCCTCCCACCTTTGCTGTCTTCCCGTACCTACGGAACAGGATGGCCCATGGCAGTAGTAGCAACAGCAGCAGCAAAACCTCGAAACGGTTGTACGGGCAATGGTGTAGTAGTTGGGGTCTGACGGAAGGCTCAGCAAGGCCAGCAACCAGCACCAACAACGAGTGAAGCGACAGGACTACGAATAGCTCTATCACCATCAGCAGTAGCACGACCATTTGGCAACCTGCCCTGCCAGCAGCAATAAAGGTGTCAGTTGGTCACCGCCAAACGGCAGCAGCAGCAACGACAGCCACTGAAAGTAAACGATGGACTCGAACTTGACGCCTCGGGCGGAGGGTCGCCCGGAGGTTGCAGGCGGTAAAACGGTGCATGAGAAAACAAGGACAACAGTGAAGCAGACGACGTCGGGAACGACTATGGCGATGAAGACCACAAGGACGGTACGCTTTTTGCATTTTCGGTACGATCGGCCGTCTTATCAACAGCGTGCGATCCACGTACCTCATATTACTGATGCTGCTGCTGCCGACGCTAGTACTTACACCGAAGAAGCCAAAGTGGAGCCTGATCGAAGACAAAGCATTGTAGGGAAAACGAGACGTCGGGAAACGGCGAAAACTCAAGATGATAAGCGGAACAAGTCGGAAAGGTTGAACAAACACATATAGAATGCATAGATGCAGATGTTAAGGTGTTTAGGGTCAGAGCCGATGGGGCCCTGTTGATATGCCTTGTAACCATTTTTGACTAACCTAATTGATCGAATATTGTGGAGATCGAAAGAGTCGCTTCAACAAATAAGGACCTCTGAACTGGACGCTTTATGACCTTCATTTTATTGACGCTGATATTTTTTACTGAAAAATTGCACGAAAATGATTGCACGATAACTTGCGTATTTTCAACAAATGCCATCTGTGTTCGACGTGTAAATCAGTGGATGCGTTTGTGTAATAATATACAACGAGAATAGTATAACCTCTGTACCATATTTTTACTGCCAGATTTACTGCTCACGGAGTGGTGGGGGCCAATTCAAGAAGTGTGCTTGAAGCCAGTACAATGGTTTCATTCCCACCGAACGTGTGCTGAGAGGGTCTTCGGTGGCCATGAAAAAATTCTATAATAAATATCTGAAAGATGTAAACACTGCAAAATCAATGGTGAAGCTCCTACGCATTTTAGCGTAAAGAGAATATTCGAACGAGGTTCTTTCATTATTAACTATCCTTCCACAATGAACCCGCATTCTGCTATCGTTATATAGTATTGGTCATAAGTAGCCCGATAAAACCTGTAATTTTTTTTTTCAATCGGAATTAGAGCGAAATGGACCCAACATATTATGTAATTAGATAAAATCTGGCAAGTCCGAACAAATAAATAATGGGCGTATATAATAACATATGCGTCTACATATATTTCAAAGGTAGGTGATTGTTATATATTATTGCCTTAATAACAAATTAGCTTTCTTACCTATTATATAATGCGTACTTCTATTTTCGGTCTACGCTTTGTCCTTCGTCCTGCTTATACTGCGCACTTCCAATAGAAGTCTTGATCAAAACGAGATATATTCTCTAATGCGCCATTGAACATTAGACAAAATACCCTATTTAGCATACACCTTAACCTAAGAAAAGGTAGCCAGGTTTATCGTGTACCAACAGATATATATAAATAGAGATTGCATACGGCGAATGTTCATAGACTCATTTTATAAGTATGATTGCTACGACAACTATACAAAATAATGATTGTATACTCTGATTCACAAGGCCATTGGACAGCCTTCTTTATATTTAAGGTCACTCTCATCGGCGTAAGCAAATTTTCGCTAAATCCGTATATACGAATAGACCAGTAGACGGTATTGGTCTTTCCCAGTTTTCTAAATTAAGATGTCTATTATAAGCAAAAAAGTTTGCAAGTTGTGGATATCTATATAACACACACACACACAAACATATGTATATATATATGTTTGAGAGACCTAGCTCTATTCTATATATATATATATATATGTATATATATATATATATATGTATATATATATATATATATATATATGTATATATATATATATATACCCGTAGTGATGCCGAACGTTCTGTGAAAATAAGCCAGTTGATTTTGCATATGCCCAATATTATAATGATCGTTTTAGGTCGGCCCTAAGCGAATTTAAATTTAAATTTGAGGAAATACATATAAGAAGATGTCCAAAAACTAGAGCCTTACATACAGATTGTCCAATTGCAAATTGAGACAATCCAAAACTCTAGTTGTGAAGTCTGTTCCATAGTAGTGGTAATAGTAGAAGCCTCTGAGGGTAATAACGGGTCTGATAAGATCAAAATAATATTAAATTGGTCTAAACCTGCCTTTTCAGTAAACCCAATTGCGCTATATTAGCGTTACAGGAGTAGTTTTACGTCACTTTGCTTTCTACTTTAATACAATAGCTAATTTAGAAAAACTGTTGTAAAGCTAATGTTGTGTATTATAGTTGAAATCAATACGTTTGTCCTAGTTGAACGGAAAGGCTCAATAACAAGTTTTATAAAAAGAAAAAGTAAAAGACGAGACACCTGAATATGGAATCAGTCTGTTAACTAACAATTAACTTAATTTAACATTGTATTGAACTGAACAACAAACTCTAGGCATTTATTTAAAGAAATGTTTGCTTATGTTCCAGAAAGAAAATGATGTAAACCAGTTGCTACTAAATGAAATGGTTGTAATGTATCTTTTTATTACGGGGTGATGGATATAGCTAGATAACATTAATTCCTATGTCTGTGTATGATTTCTCTATAGAATTACCTTCGTTTGTCAGAGACACGACGGGAAGTATATTGCGTCCGATTTCTAAGATAGCCGTAGAAAAACATGGAAATTCCCTTCTGTCCAAAATATTGTTTAGAGTCATAGAATATATGACCTTGCTATTAAAAGAGTTTTAGGTTTAGATCGACATCATGTAACAACTTGAGTAAGTTGAGCCTTATTTCCAGTATACACGTTGTGTTAAAACTGCCGTTACGCTAGAAGAATCCATTTCCAGGACTAAATAACATTTACGAATTTTAGTAACAGGCCTCGTTAATATTAAAAAAGTGCAGGGAAGCTTCGCACTACATTTCTCGACTTTCAAACATAATTGTTCTTCGGAGGTACGGTATCATTCAGTTCAAAACCATCGTTTTAATACTCATTTGAATAGGTTGAACCGTATAACTGAAATGGCAAAAAAAAAAAAAAAGTCGTTTATTATTTAATTTACATCTGTTTTAATTTTCATTGTTAATTAAAACAAGTATAAAAATTTAAATCAAGGAGACGATCGGTTACATTTTTGGAAGACTGCGAATTGAGAGAGAAAGGTGGTCTTCTAACATTAGGTAGAGAAGAGGTATTGACGATACGATTGCGAGTATAGGCTTCAAAGCATAGCGTGAAAATCTTCAAATGCCGGAACTAAATAATCGGTTGTAGATACAAGCCCAGAAGATATAACACCATTCTATCGATAAAATTCACAAAAAAAATCCACTTGTGGCGAAAGGCTGACAACAGGCAGCTTTTGCAGACACTGAAACATATAGAATATGGTTACACGATGGCGTATCACTTCGACGGATAGGATTTCCAATGACTGTTTAAAGCTCACATGTCAAAATGAGTTTTACATAGTGTGTATATATTGTATAGCCGTAATTAGTCGTCGCAACAAAAGCCTACAACCAAATATTACGTTAGAAACTGGCTATCTAATCTTGAAAAGTATAGAGAACTCAATATCTAGACTGTAAAGAGAATACACTTCCTTCAACTTTGCTACATATTCATATTATTTTGAATTCGAGAAAAATCTAATTTATTTCAGACAAGCATTGTCCTAGTTTTTCAGCCCTCTATACCGCAAATCGGTCTTCATGACATCGTCAAAATATTACATATAAAAATACATATAAAAAAAAAGAAGGTGGGCTCTGAGATCGGTCCCAAGCGCTCCCGTTCTCCGCTCTGAAGGGTGTCGGTGAAATTTTTACCGCGTGTAGGATAGTAACACATTTAATGCGATAAAAGGCCGCGGCAAAACAATTGCGACACTCCAAAGGGGACAGGTCCTAGGAGCGATTTTAGCAAGCAAAGCACACAAACGGGAGAGAAGTTGGCTCACCGATCGCCCTTTGAAGTTTACATCTTTTAAAGCTTTAAGCCAGACAGATGGCTCGCTAAAGAGTCGGTAGACAATGCTATCTCTAATTAAAAGTAACATCTTCAGCGAAGAGTTAAAAACGTTTATAAATTCAGCACTCGTAGGCACCGGTAGGCGGTTGGCTTTTTGACCTCTCTTGAGTTCTCTGACGGACTCGTCCATATTGAGGAGGAAACCCACTTTGCAAGAAGCCTTCAAGATGAGTTACGAGAGAACTTTACTTTGTCTGGCCACGTTATCGTTAAGAGATGTTGTTTTAGGGCTTCTGATGGTAGTCTTAAACTCTTTTTCAATAAGCTGCAACTAAAACGTCTTAGGCACACTCATCTTCCCGAGTTACGAAAGGTAAATATTGATCTTGTCTGTGTTTCAACATTTGATTATGTAATGACTCATAAGTGAAGATTGTAATATGTACAAAGATGAGGACTTCCCTACAGTCACTCTGGTTAATCTCTCTAATATTTTTTATGCAACTGCAACATTGTATAAGGCTTGATCATTGATGCTGGCCTTATTTCGAAGTCCAACGGCTTAATTTTCTATTATAGCCTTTAAATGGGATTTCGACGAGGGGATATAGATGGGAATTCGAGAAACACCTTCACTAGTGAATATCTATCTCTCATCTAGTTTCTTATATTAAGGATATCCCTAACAGGTATTTTGCAGGTGCATTCTCGCACCAATGAGATCTATTTCAGTATTTTCTTTCTAATTATCCTTGAGGCAGTCAATATAAACTTAAAGGTCGTTTCGCAAGTGAACTTATAAAGAAATTCGGTTTGGAGATGATACAGTTGAAAATAAAAAATATCGTAACCCCTCATCCAAATGTTTAGCTAGTGATTGGGGCTATCGTTGTTCAACTATTTTCTTTTCTAAGAAATATTATATACATAAAAAGCCATAAATGTCTCAGGATCTTTTTCGCACAAAAGGTCTGGCGCAAAATTACCGATCTACAGAGATAGATCTTTGTAAACGTATAGGTAAATAGATCTATGGCTATATTTGTTCACGCCTATAAGCGACACATTACCAGATAACGTTAACTATATTTATTAGACGTTTATCTAAAAGTCATTCTACTGTCGTAGGACGCCAAGCCGATGCATAGGAACCTGCATAGTAGCAAACATGCGATTCAACTTGTCGCGTCTTCAAGCGCCTACTTTCTTTATGCATTTCATTCAAACAACAAATGGCCAAATAGAAAATGATGAGCCTTGACTATTTTAGTTCGTGCCTGTAGTCGGGTGTTAGTCTGTTTATTCCTTCAGAGTAAGGGGAAACACCATAGGACCGCTGTTGAGTGACCGATGGAGCATAGTAGCGCGGCCGATTAGTCGTCGAGACCAAACGGTGTCCTCGGTTGGCCCGGAGCAGAGGATCGAAGAAGGACATTCAGTACGGCAACGGCTGCTGCACTGAGTTGAATGCTTGCCTCTTTGATAGGATCGGTCGAGGAGAAGCTTCGATGGGTCAGGTCCATCGATAACATTACGATAGCGATGATTGAAAAAGTGGGTAAGCATACTCAAGCAGGGGTTGGCTAGCAAAAACGAACAGATTGAAAGAAACTGCCGCTTAAGACACAGAAAGAGTAAGAGAAATCTGAAATGAAACTACTTACTGCGTCGATGTTCCCCTGTGTTCATCGATGAGTTCCTCGATGCCCCAGGAGACGGATGATTCTGCGACTGACGGCCGATGTTTGGTGAGCGGCTGCTTGTTGTGTCCTTGGAAAAGTTGAAGCGTAGATGTAACGGGCATAAGGATTTCGTTGGCAAGCACTGCTTACTGAAGCTGGTCGACCGACTGGCACCTGGGGAAAATCCATTTGCTAAAAGCAGTAGTTACAGAAGGAAAGTAGCCGGCGGAGTGAGAGGGTGCGTGTCTGCGTGCGTGCGCGGATTTACATCGCTGGAAAAGTCGGCAAAAGTAATGCCGATGGGCATGAACCACAGGCAGACACGATAGTATACGTAGCTAGTTATTTAGGTAGGTACTGTACAAACAGTACAGATCGAAGCAGACTTCACTCGTTTCGATTCGACAGTTGCTGCTACTTCAGGTGCCGGACCCAGGACGCGGTTCCAGGAACGCGGTTAGGACAAATAGCCCTAGCGGTGGCGGTAGTATACTAACGTTTGCTTTTGCTAAAGGTGGAATTGCTTGGTGGAATCGTGGAGCACGGTAAAAAACACTATCACTTTCGTTTATCTAATAGTATCCTCAGCGCTACCCTCGACGCTTGCTGCTCTCTTAACGAGCAGAAGGGTGAGAGTAAGGCTGTATAAAAGCAATCAAAACTTGCAGAGCTGCCCTCCACGGACGTATATCTATGCTCAAAGGGAGACACGCGTACACTGCGTTTCAAACGAAATGAAATCGTTCGTCCATTTGGATCGCCCCATATTCAGCAGCAGGAAGGGACAGTGTCCGAGTATCTTTATCGTTTAGGCGCCTGTGACGCTTTAGTCGATGCGTTCCAAACGCAACGAACGACAACAGTATGCCACCAAGTGAGAATAGAAACACTTATTACTTTTTTTGCCCTATAACGGATCTTGTTGCATTGCGTCAGGCTGGTAATAACAAGCAAATTAGGCACAAGCTGACTTGGTCATGACCACCAAGCGGAAAATGTGTTGATTTATTTGATAAAAAAAAAAAAAAACCTTTTTCGATGTTGCAGAGTGGTCACTTGTTTAACTGTGTACATATATATATATATATATATATATATATGTATGTATCATACCTACTTGTCGCTGTTTCGATCACCATCAAAGTATTAGCCGGTAACCTTGTTTATTTCTCGAATTTAAGCGAAGTAGCCGACCTTATAGACGGTTTTGGTACAGAACTAGCCTTATGTGGTAACAGATGGAGAAGAGTGTAAGTAGCTACAAATCAAATCAGCTAAGGATTCTCGGTCTTTGAAACTATCTCCTTTATCGAACGTAACTACTACCTCACGCTTCGGGACGCTGTAAACAAAATTGACTTTAGCAACAATATTTATGCTTAAGCTTCTCAGCAGTAGGTAGAATGTATTTACCAAATAGAAAAAAGGTTCGAAATACTGACAAGCACTAGAAAGAACGCATAGATTAAATGCTTAAAATATTGTGGAATTAAGTTTTCTAAAATAGAAAGGGCAAAGGTTACGCGAAATTTGTTAAAATTAGAAATGACAAATGGTACTTTCAACGTGGGAGTGTGATCGCTTCCGGAATCTATTTCTACATCATTTATTGAATTTATTTAGCTTTAGTTGCGAATCGTTCCCCATTTAGAGACACGTCAATGGTCAACGCCGCGAGCATTAAACGATACAGAAAAGGCTACAATAAACATTCTACAATGGATTCCAGTAGCAGTTCCAAGCGCGATGCATCTATCAGCTGAAATACTTCGCTTACAATGTGTCTTCTATTAAATAATATATCGATTAATTATTATTATTATCATAAAAAAAAACACGATATCAATATCACGTAAGAGAAGATCTGACGTGACAGTTTACAATCGATGGGTTGATCGTAGAAGTGTTTGTATTGTAAGAAGAACAATATTTATCATCAAATAGGAGTCGTTGTTGGGTCCAATCAACTAAGGGATAACTATGTAAGCGGTCTGAATAAGACAAAAATAAGTTGGATCAGATAGCTTTAAGTTCACATATTCAGAAGGAATTTTCGCCGTGTCATGGTAAAAAAGAAAATAATTGTTGTGGTAGAATCTCACAAGTGAACTCCGCTAGGGTTGAAGCAGCACCTAGGGAATCAGGCGGGATTTAGCAGCTTCGACGTTCACCTTGGTACCTTCATCCCACGCAAGGCTTTCGCGCAAATCTCAAAAAACGAGGCTCATTCATAAGAGATCACACTGGATAAGTACTCATTTTGATTGGAAACTTTACTTGAGGGCGAATCAGACTGTATAACTGGAGTGAGTACCATCTCCTTAGTTACAGAATCCCGCTACGTTTTCTGCGCGCACTTCATCTACGCTATTTCCTTTCGATCTTGGCACAGCGTGACAGGATACGACATGAATGCCGCAGAAACAGCCATAATCAATCGTCGTGTTTTCAAATACACATGTGCAAATGTGTGTATATTTCAAAGTAAATGGAATTAGCTTTTCTTTCCCTGCAAATAGCCTAAAGGAATAGTTTTTCTATGATCACCAACCTTCATTTGATATTATGACGTAGTTAGCTGTTTCTACTATTAGTTTTCACGGAAAATGTCTTATACCAAATTTGCTTTGTTGTTTGTGATTTCGTTATAGTCCTCCTTTTTCATATATAGAGCTCAATAGGCTACTGTGCAAGTTAACTTGTTGAAATGTTTACACAAATACGAACGAAATCCAAGCAGCTTTTAAAACGAAACATAAATACCTCTCATTTGATCTATTTTTGTCCGCTCCGCCCAGTTGGTTTGCGTAATGTAACCCGTAGAACTTGGGTCGATGTGTCCCAGTTTGCGTTGTAATCAAATGAAAAAATATCAACGCAAACCTGAATCTCTGAGACGGACGGGATTTACTATTGACATACCTTGAACGTGGAGATGTTCAATGCGCAGGTATGATGAAAAGCCAGGATAGAGAAATAGAAGATCCGAAACTGCTAACGTTCCAAAGCAGGGACTCAGAACATGTCGCTTCTAATGTCCCATCTAGGACGCTTACTTCTTTTCGTTCCTTATTTTAGCTGCCCTGAAACTCTTCGTCGGTCCATATCTTTCAAAAGACATGAAATCGGGTGCCAACTGGCATTGAGCTGCTGATTTGATCGATTCAGAGTGTTTGCATACTTCGTAGCATTCAGAAGATTTGCCTGTGCTAGTATATCAATCAAGTTCCATCCTAACACCATATTGTTGCTGGTGCAAACTTCTTGAAAAAAATTGCTTATTCATTATCAAAGTAAAATGCGATCAAGATAAATTTGATCGGACTCTAGAGAACTAGGAAATATGAACGGGGAATTTTTCAGCTGTTTATGCATTTCTTACGTCGGCTCTGTTGCGAAGTATTTCTTTATTAAGACAAACTAATAAATTAGGTATTTTTTTTTATTTTTTATACTAATATGTGATAGACAGAATGCTTCATGTAGCTTTAGACTCTCCTTTTTGACAGTATAGTATCCAAGCAATCCGTCGAATTAGGACCTCCTAGAATGTTTTATTTCAAGGACCTTGGAGTGTGGCCGGTAACGCCATCTATGTAGTGGATACCGTACTAGTCCTTACAAATCTATCGCAAAAATGTACTTTTAGGACAAGCTTTTTTTATCATTCCTGATTCGTTAGCTATCCGATACATCACAGACGGTTTAGTGTAACGTGCATGAAGATATCCACTTAGCGGATAGCAAATCTAAACGATAGAGATATTGCAATTTTCAATTAGCATTAGGAAACGAAATCTTGGAAAATTTGGAAACCAACTTTTCCAAGATTTCGTTTATCCTTTTATCCGTTTATTCTTTAATCCTTGTTTTTAATAATATGTTGAAAATTTCGGAATTTTGTCAAACGGCTGGATTTAATAACACAGAAGTCGATATTCTGTTTATCACGATCAATCAAGCTGCCTGACAGATAAAATTTAACACTTCCAATTTAACTTATTATGTGGATAAAATGTGGAAAAGTAAAAGCCTGAGTAGTTAAGAAGAAGTTTTAAGGTACTTTGACTGTGGCTAAACCGGAAAAATATTTCCCCATTCGACTTTTGCGTTCAATGAAGTTCAATGTGAATCTTGTGCGCCACAAAGCGTATTCTGTCAACGTCATCTACAATCTTATAGATAATCAATAGCATCAACTGCAATTTGGAAACCCAGAACTAAAGCTGTAGAAAGTTTGGAATGCAAGGAAGGTTGCAAGTATGGAATTCATAAGTGTGTAAGTTAATAAAAGATCTACTGCGCACATAAGTAGCACTTGAAAGAAACTTTTAGTTCAGCACATTAAAAACGGTGGTTAGTAGTTTAGTAATAATGTAGTCTATGTAGATATTTAAAATATAGTTAACAAATTATAATTTAAAGTTATTATATTGTGTCGATCACACCGTAAGTTTGCTTAACATTCATAGTTCCCGAAGAATTTCCCAAGAGTAGTAATTTGCGTCGCTTGTTAAGACCTCGTACAAAAATGGGTTTATTGCTTCAGAATTGAGATAACGGGCTAGATATAACACAAGCACCGTTGGTTACTACTGCAAGGACTTAGGAGTACAATATTTGACTCACTCCCTATGCACCCATAAACCCGCACAATGAATAGAAAAATGCATGATACATGAAGTATCTGTAAATGAATATCGTATCCTTCAAAACAAGCGACGCAGTTAAGTTAGAATGTACATTTGCGGTACATTTTATCATATCACTAATACTTAAACTGTACTCAGCAATATTTTGCGCTTCATCAAGTGGCTTTCGACAAATCAGCTGGGAGAGAAGTACTTGTTTAAATATAAAGCATAAACAACATCAGGCAGCTGTGCCGTCACGCGCGCGTCTCTCGACTGTCTGCCCGTTTCTGTTCATGCTTTGTCAATAGAAGATAATATGAAGCCCTAACGAACACGTTATAGGATTCTATGAGTCGTGTGAGACCCAACTTGTGCATTTGACGTAATATCCATTGAAGCCTGAGCAAAATAACTTAGGTTGGGATACGGTTCCTAGAATTAGGAGAATTTCACGTTTTCTTTCTTTCCTTTTTCTTTTCCTCTATTCATTCCCAAAAAAAAGTCAATAAAAAGTGTAAATTCCTAATACATCGCTGTTAA